TTTTTTTGTATTTTGTGAATATAATTTAGCATGTGTGTATCAGAAATTTTCTTGAAGAAATTCTCCGATTTAACTTTTTGAAACCATTCATTTAGGCCGAAAATATTTACACACACATTTGTAAATTTTAAATTTAAATATCTATTCTCTGGTGGTTGCAGCAGACAGACCTCAATTTTCTCATTGAACATTTTGTGTGGCACTGTGTAAGTTTTAATACTAACTTTTTTAAAGTTTTATATCTTAACAGTTAGATATCTGTTGCACATTAATTGTTTAATACATAGGTGCACATTAAAGTTATTGTAGCCCGAATTTTTATTATTTATTTAATATTTTTAAAAATATTATTATTAACAATTAAATATTTTTAAAAATCTACTTATTTTAATTTGTAATTCAATACTTCTGTTTTGTACAACTTGGTAAAAAATCTGACAGTAATATTTAATGTTGCTTCCAACATAAAAGAGACTTACATAAAATTTTGACAAAGTTGCGGACCACCATTTGATTTGTGTTTTTAATTGTGGCCCCCGACCTCATGTAAGTTGGAAACCCTTGAGTTATAACTTTAAATTCATAAAATAAAAAAATAAATAAAAAATTCTGAAATCACTGAAGTTTAAAATATAATTCTCTTAAGAAATGATGTTCTTTCCTTCATTTTTTGAAAGAAAACCATAAGAACATTTTGCATTTTAATAAAATGTGACTGTGAGAGAGGATTTTGTTACAAATTCAAATCAAGGTGGCCACTCAAATCAAGTTTCAAATTTCCCTGATTTTTCCAGTAAAATTCTTAAAATTTCCAGGTCAGTGTTTCCCCCCCTGCTAAAGTGCCGTATAGGTACATGAAAAGTGTCAATATTAGTGCATTAGTCAATATAGTGTAGCATTTCATTAAAAATTTTATTTTTTAAATATATCATCTTGAACAGATGTGGAGGAAACAATATGTTTAGCTTGCAGAAAATAATGCTTTCAATGAATAAATTTTTTTTTATGTGTTAAATAGTTTTTGCACAAAATGTACCAAATAGCAATGATCCAAAACAACCTTGGATAAGTACTGTTTAATATATTGTTATTAAGCGAAAGAAAATAATTCCAGGTGATTAGAAACCAATAAATTCTTATATTTATTTATATTTGAATATAGAGCCATTTTATACTGTATTTTATACAAACAGTGCTCTTTATAAAATTTTCTTTAAACCAATATCATAAGTCAAATGTTTAAATAATGTTGTTTGTTTCAAATTAGCCCTATTATTTTAAGTCATATTCAGTATTTGTAAACAAAAAATTATCAATTTCTTGTTTCATATTCTATCGAAAAAAAAACAAAAAAAAAAACTGGATACAATTCTTTAACTTTTATTCTTTTTTTTTCTTTCCGTTTCTTAATAGAAATTAGAATGTATTAAGAATTCCAATCTAACATGGTTTCCTAGTTTAGATAAGTCAATTGGTTTTGTTCTTATACCTGGGCAATTCCATGGTGTTGGAAAAAAATGAACATTAATTTCTTAGAAAAACTATCTTACAAAACAAAACTTTGCTGAGAAAAATAATTCCATTGTACAATAGCTTTCAGAAAAAGAGTGCAAGATAAAATCTCTAAATTATAACCAATTATTTTTTTCAGAATTTTATAAAGTTAAAAATACTAAAACATTTTGAATAATTTTGTTAAAAGAAAAAAATACCCCCCAAGCAGAGGAACAAACTTCAACAATTAATGAATTCAGCCCACAGAATAAAAGACTTAAAAAAAAGAAAGAAAAAACGTTACTTTTATGAACAGAAGCAAATATCCTAATCCTTTCTTCCACATTTTTGCCTTTCCTATACTACATAGTCCCATAATCTCCAATGAGGTCAAAGATTTCTCCATTCATTTCCCAACATAAAATAATTTGAAATGGCATTCTAGTTTAACTGGGTAATAATAAAGAGAATTTTAATGCAAGAAATGTATTGCTGAGTTGATGATATTTCAACTTTTTTACGATTAATTTACGTCTAAATAAAAGTGGATATAACAGATGGTAACATAATTTAAATTAAAAGAAAAATTCCAGCTTTTCTTTGAAATTCCCTGATTTTTCAGGTTTTTATCCAAATTTCCCTGACTTTTCCAGGTTTTTTCCAGTATAAAAAAATTTCCTGATAATCCCAGGTGAGTGGCCAGATATTCGGAACAATGTGAAATTGGGGAGGAAAACTCCATTTTAAAAATGAGATTTTTCTGCGACCTAAATAAATGATTTTTTTGTTGAAAAAATAGTTAAAATCATGACAAATTTTGTTTAATACCAAAACTCCATGACTTTCCAGGTGCACGGATACCCTGTAATTAAGAATCTCAAAAAATAAATGGCACACTTGAAACTTAAATTTTGCACAGATCTCAAAGTGGCTCCAAAAAAATAGGACATGCTTTTAGACTAATATATATATAACAGATTACTTTTAAAAAGAACAAACAACTGAAAGAAGTATAATTTTCAATTTAAGTATAATATTATAAAGGCAAAATAAATCACAAAATAATAAAAGCATATACTGTATTTTTAATTTTAAAATTATTTCACGTAGAGGAAAAAATTAAACATGTGGTACTTTGGGAATATTCCTTTGACCATATTCGCCAAACCCGAGATTATCGTCAAAAGGTAGCTTTTGAGCCAATAACCGCAAATTGTATCATATTTACTGTATAATCTTTGACTAAAAGAGTTATTTTTCTTTAACATGTTGAAATATATAGATATTTTTTTTACTCTGCTGAAAAATTATTCGAATTTGGGACTGCACAAGGATAATGACTTGTTTGTTTCTGCTTTAATAGGAATTTTGGTCGACGAAATGATTTATAATAATATATATGGATAGATTCAAGAATAATTAAATGTGTAATTAGATTTAAAAAAATGGAGGTTTTTACGTTGTTTTGATTCTTTTTATTAAAATTTTTTATTACATATTTTTACACTTAAATTTTTTTTGTTATTATTTGATTAATTCAATGTGCTTAGAATGATTATTTTGGAAATTGTTTTTCATTATGATGGAGCCAGAAGATTTGTGCATTTTAGCGAGCGTTGACAGGTCGATAGGATAATTCCAAATATTTTAACAACTACCAGTATAATTATATTATTTCATTTTGAGCAACTCAAAATAGTTTGAAATCAATTTATAGAAAATTTATATAACAGTGCTTTATAATTATTATTGCACTGTTGCATTAAAAAATCTATCAAAAATGATATATACATGGAAGAAATGAGATAGAAATTAAATAGTTACCTGTTATCTTGACTTCCCGGTCCATCAATATTGCCTGGCAGATTTGGTAAGAAAGCACTTAATTGATCTTTCATTTTACGGCCACAAAACTTATTATAGGAATGTTCTAAGTTGTAATGAGACATCAAATTGGTAGCTCCAGTTAATTCCCCTTCTATGATGAAAATTAAAAAAATTACTTTAGTTCTAATTTTACTATAATATCGTCCTACATTTATCAAAAAATGTTAAAAAATTAAAAATCATAAGTATTTAGAATAGCCATGGCCACGTCAAACAGAATGCAAGGCCCCTAATATTTTAAAAGACAAATATTTTTTAAATTTTTGTTGCCTTAATCTGAATATTAAAAAGAATATAAATTTTCTTTCCATTACAAAACAAAAAAAAAAATTATTGCAGTAGCTAAAAAATGTTCATAAAATTATTTCGTTTTCTTTCTATATTTTGGTTGAATCTCTTAAATGCTACAATACATTAATAATTCAAAATTTTTTTTAATGCATTGTATTTTCTTTCTTACATAAAAAATAAAAATATTTCTTATCTTAATCATACATTTGCATTTTTTTTTAAACAGGACTCAACAGTTTAAAGATTTTTAATGATGAAATAGATAATACCTAAATAATTGTAAAATTTATTTTACTTTATAAAATATAGTGCACAAAAATAACAGTTGAAGATGATAACTCGATGAGTCATAAAAAATCAAAATAAAATACTAAAAACTCTGTTCTTTAACTCTAATTTGATTATAATTACATTTTCAATTATATTATTACAACACAATTCTCAATGATGACTACTTTTTATATCAGTATGAAATTATTTTGTTCAATAGATGATAAACTTATGGAGAGTAATTTCAATAATTTTTTTTTCAAATAACAATTTCATTTTTTGTCTAATAGTTTATCAGTAAAATATCTCTTACTCTAAAACAATATTTTGTTTTACTTTTCTTTGTCTACTATCTAAAACACCTTAAAAAATGGGAACTACTTAAGTTATTGAAAAATATTTAGAAGATATAGTCTACGACAAAATTAAGTAAACAATAATAATAATTAATTTTTTTAAAACTTTTCCAAAGTTTAAAAACATCTCTACATGAAAATTTAAAGAAAGAAAGTTTATGGAAGTTCAATAAAATACTTTTTCATTACAACATGCATAAATATTTTTAATTTAAATTTAACAAAAAAAATACTTTTTCCCCAAAACAAATTAATAAATATTTTGATGGCCTGATTCATAAAACCAATTACAATATTATGCTTTCAATAAATTTTTTGAAAAAATTAGTTCCTTAAAAAAATGTATCAATTTATAAAAACTAGATTTATTAAAAATATTCCGTAAGTATAAGACACTAAAATATTTGCAAAATAGGAAATATTTAATAATTAAGTATTTGTAACAAATTTTCCTTATATTTTGTAGTGTAAACTGCACCAATTACAAATTAACAACACTACACACTAATTACAAAATATAATTTTGTTTCATTACTTTTACAAAGTAAACTGTTTCTTGAAAAGTTATTCTATTTAACAGATTTTACTTAACATTTTTAAAAAGAAATTTTTTTTTTCAATTTAAAGGACAATACTCGTTACTATTTTAACATCACACAGAAATTTTATAAATATTCTCACCTTCCTTATTTTATTAGCCATTTGAAATCTTAACCAATTCAATATAGCTATTATACTTATTGTTTAATTAAAATAAGTTTTTGACGTATCTACACATCTATTTAAGACAATCGTTTTAGTTATAGACAGCATATGGACACATCTATACGGGAAAATACCTACAAAAAATTTAAAATTGAACATACATTATAAAAATTTAAAAAAAGCATTATTGTACATTGTATTTTAAAATAAAACATTACATATATTTAAATAAAAAATATTTTATTAAATAAAAAATATTTATTAAATGCTAAATGAAAAATTTAAATTTATTTTGAAAAAAAGATTCAGTAACACTAGTTACACTTTCTAACTTTCTTAAGAATTAAAAAGTGTCCAAAAGAAAGTAAAATTTCACTTGTATAGATTAGTTCTTACTATGTACTATAGTCCATTCCACCTTAAGTTGGCACTGGANTTTCTCTCCAGTGCCAACTTAAGGTGGAATGGACTATATAAAGACAGTAAGTATATTAGAAGCAGGGTTGGAATGTTTCGCAGAAGAAATCTATTTCTTCCAGGACATTGACAGAAATAGAAATATGGGAGATATCAATATGTGATTTTTGTAGACTGTACGTCTGGTATGTGATTTGATAATTAAGAAGTATTAACTAATAAAAATAAGCTATACAATATTAATTTATATAATTAAAATGTTGAAATATCTATTACATGCTGTTGGGCTGATTAAAAAAACAATCTACAGATATCAGGCTTTCAAAATTAAGTCTGAATTGGATCTATGTTCTTACCTATGTGATTCATAAATACAGAGATAAATTATTTGGTGGTTATTACAATGACGTAGTGAAATTCGATTATCTCACTTCGCAAGGCTATTTGTAAAAAAAAAATAATAATAACTACTCACGATAAAAAAAATAATTAAAAAAGGTAAACATTAATGTCTAGAGAAATGTTACTAATTCTATATCATCTTTCGCTGGTTGGCAAAGTTAAAATATTGTAGGAACATTTTAGAGCAAAAATGAAAGCTGTATTTTTTTTTCACTACTAAATTAATTATAACTCCAAATTTTAGGCACTATCTTCATCTACATATTGGGGTGTACAACCATTGGGATTGAAGGGTCACTTGCACAGTAGGTAGATTAACGAATTGTCATATATAGTGAATATATAGTCATGTTAGAGGCAAGTATGATAATTTTTATATAAACATTGTTCTAAGCAGAAAATTTTTCTTATCAGTAAACTGAATAAGATGCATAAAATTAAATAAATTTTTAATTATTTAAATTTATTAAAAATAAAAAAAATGATACTTCTGAATCTCTTGAACAAGTAACCATGCGCAAAATCAACAGGGGAAAATTATAAATTGTATCAACAAAAAAAGTGCAGTGCTTACAGAATGGGAGTGCAAAAAAAAAAAAAAAAAAAATGCATTTTAAAGAGTACCTGAGTACTAGAGTAAAATTGAATTAAATATTTTTATTAAAGAAAATTTATAATGTTTAAACAAAAACCAAAAATTAAAACAAATCCATTATAGTACAAAATAAGATTCTATATTTATTTATTATTTTTTAAAAATCATTAAATTTATGATGCAATCGGTGCAAATAAAGAACATAAAAAAATGCCAAATTAGATGTGCAATTTATAACCTACAAATCATAATAAATGTATTGGGATCTTAAAAATCACATAGAAATTGGTAACTATAAATGCCAAAAACGATCAAAATGTCACTTAAATTTATAATGAAATCTGCAAAAATTACACAAACTATGAATTCACTGGTTGTAATATTGTATTAAAAATATTGGGTCTTTTAAAACCATGAGGAATTTCATAGCAATAACCAATAATAAAAAAAAAAATGATCGAGAAACAACATAGATTTACAATAGAATCAATGCAAATTGTAAAAGTGATGACTCAAATGTGCGATTCAAAATAGGACATTTTCTTTTATTTTTCCAAATTTTTTATTTTTTTAAAAATTGGATTCAGAAGCTCTCATAAGCATCTACAGTCAGCAGGATGTACATAGCCCGTAGGTTGTGCATCCCTAATCTACAAATATAAACATCTAACTAAATTTGTATTGAAATTTGTTAAAGTATAATTGCTCAATAATCTCAGCAATTTTACTTTTAAGATATTAATATATTTTAAAATGAATAATATTATATTGAAGATATTTCGTAATAGGTTTCTATTTCTTTTGACGCCCAGTGTCTGATTGGCAGCGCTTCATGCCACAAGTCCTTGGTTCTATCCTCGGGATGGGCAAGGTTGACTCAGACTTTCACTCCTTTATTATCAAGCATGCTTGGAAACTAAAGACCAGGGATTCTGTGTAGGGCTGACCACCCATCCGGAACATCTGCTCTTGAACCCCAGAGTCCAAAGGTCAAGAAAACAGAGATGGACACAGTAGGCCTTAATCGGCAATAGGCTGTCGCGCCATTGAGTTTAATTTAGTTCTATTTTTTTAACCGTTGTAAGGAGTATAAGTAGTCTAGAATAATGATTTGCAGTCAGGCTCTTTTCAACTTAGAGCAGAGCTTAGAATATTTAAAATTTTAGAAAGTTTTCGTATTATGATTTACATCAAAATAATCGCAAAGTCTTGGCAAATTTCAGACGGTAACCTCTGAGAAACTAAGAAAAGCATCACAGCAGGAGATCAACTTGAAGGATATAACTTGTTGCTAACCTCAGCCTAACATCTACATGACTTTTTTTTCTTTCTCGAAATTTTTTTTCCACATTTAAAATCCATTTGGTGCCTTGGTAATTGCTGTTGGTACGCCAGATCACAATACGGAAATATCCCTAGCATTTTATTACAATTTAAACTCTTTTCCGTACCACAGTATTAAGGCACAAAATCTATTAGAGATATTTTTATTTTGGCACCTATTCATGAAAGGGTTCTTTTGACTTGAAATTTTTTTTTTTTTATTTATTAAAAAGAGAGGTGTGTAGAGCGTTGGTTAAAGTTACACTGATAAATATTTGACATATTTTTTAAATCTAATTTTTTCAGCAAAATGTACCTAAATATAGAAGACCTCAGATGAATAGGGAAGAAAATTCGAAATTTTATTATTTCAAAAAAAAAAAAAAAAATATCTATGATAAATAGTACTTATTTTCTAAATTAAATTTTAAAATCTTAACTAAAATATAAAAAGTGAAAATAAAATGAGGAAGAGCGGAGAAATTTATCCTCACTAACAAATGCAATTTCTACTACTTGTCTCGCCTTGAGCTATGGAATGTAGAGCACTTCAATTATAAATACAATTTACATAACCCCTTCCCCAAGTAAAAACAATCATGCATTTAAGAAATTTTTTTTTTGTTCAGTGCTTTTCAAATTAATATGTAAAGATAAATTTAGAGCAATAATTAAATCATAACATATTTCTTTTTCTTAGAATTCCTACTTGGCGGTTCTTTCATGAGATAGAATGGTCCACTATGCCAGATTGCAGGAGTTTTGCCTTTTCCTAGTGAAATCGTCGTTTTTAAGGTTCCAGTTGAATCTTGCCGAGGAACAACAGGAGAACGAGACCCTCTAGGGCTCGATTTAGGAGAATATGATTCTGCACGTCTTCCTAAGTCGGCCATTTTACAGAGAACAGAATCGAAAGCAAAACATTTCGCAAGCAGAATTTCTTTTTATTTATTTAAATATAAGAGTTGAGTTGTCATAGCTACAATTTTAGTGGTGTGTTACTTTTAAAATCAAGCGGGTGCAATAAAAAGTTCGATTCTCCCCTTATTGATGTTTTATTTTTGTCTTTCATAGAAAATTAATTAACTAGAGAAAAAAAAACCTATTTATATCCTATAAATGTGGTTTTCCGCACATATATATGATTTATTTTTAAAAAACAATTTCTGCATTTTTAAAGCAAATGGCATCACACTTGAAAAGCGAACAATTTGCATGTTGCTAGGCAACAGATGCAAGAACATATTTATATTTGCTGCTTATTTATGTAGTAATATTCGAATTTTGCTTTTCATATTTTGCATATTAGTTGCGCAATCTATTAAATTTTAGGTAAATTCTTATGTTACTAAAATCTTATGCGCTTTAATGCATTATTTGCAAACATTTATTTAACTGTTTCGAAAAGATAAGTGTCTTAATTAATTCCTTATTAAAGTCGGTAGAAAATGGCTGAGGGTGCGAGACGTTTTTCAAATCGATCACTCAAAAGAAAATCTGTCGGTAGTTCTGATGCGGATGAAAAAAAGAAAGTACGGCCGTGTGCGAAAGCAGGCTGCAACGATAATCAACCAGATTGTTGTTTACTTTTAAATGAAAACTGTACGAGAGATGGATACACATCTCGTTGGTATCATATGTCTCTCGGAGAACACTTTTGCAATAATTGTTTCGACAATTTGTACAGACCGGGAAGAACTTGCAATTTAAAGTTTTGTGACTGGAGCAATGAATGGACTGCTGTTGCTCAAGTTACCAAACCCAACATAAAACGATATGTTGCCAACGAATTGTTACCTTACTGGGTAAAATGTGGCGATGTTAAATGTGGAAGGTGGAGAATGGTTAAAGAACCTGGTAACATTGATTCAGATTTTATTAAAAATTTCAAGTGCCATATTGCTTCTAATGATATATCCTGTGAAAGTCCTGAGGACAAGTTAGTTTCCCTGTCTTCAGATCCTTATTTTATCGACCAATTAACCGAGGTCCCTCATTTGGTTAACTCTCCAGCCGGACCCTATCTTAAAAGAATTTTTCCTGAGAATATTGGATTAAACCCTCTTGAATGTACGCAAGCGTTGCTGGAAGAAATTACTGATATAGAGCCATTTTCACTCGATCAATGTGGTGAAGCGTGTATATGGCCGAAACCAGATGCCATGGATGAAGAAGAAAAACTATTCGCAAATAATTGTATGATTTCATCTGCTATGTATTTAGGTTTGCGCAATTTAATTGTTGCACTGTGGAATCTGTCTCCTAAAGAATGGTTAGATGTGCATAAAATAAATACGTATTTAATATGTAGAGGTCTAGTTAGAATTTATTTATATTTTCTTTCTGAATTAATGTTGAAATTATTGACTCAAAAATCTGTTATTAATTATGGAATACTCGAAAATCCATCATTAGTTGTACCTGAAAGCTCTGAACTGGATGTTCTTATTGTTGGAGCTGGTATTTCAGGTTTAGCTGCTGCAAAACATCTTCAAAATTTGGGGATGGCTGTTACGATATTTGAAGCTGATTGTAAAGTAGGTGGACGGATTTCTAAAGTGGATGATTCATTAGCATTTCAAACCTATATTCTGAAAGGAATTTTAAATAACCCATTTAAAATTTTAGCTATTCAAGCAAATCAAGAGTATCAAAAATCGAATGGAAATTCTATAATATTAGATTCAAAAGGAAAAGTTGTTCCAGAAAAAGTCGAATGGCTTGCTCAACATTTATTAAAGGGTCTTGCTCAAGGTGCTCTTGAAAATGCTTCCCAGTTACAAAAAGACTCTAATTGGTACGATACTTTACTTGGAAACTTTGATGTAATTTCTAAATCTTCGTCTGTTCCACTAGATAAAAAACTATTTCTCCATGTGCTAGATTTGTTTGAACTGGAATTGGGAGTAGATTTTAGGGATCTTTCTATTTTAAATTGGGAATCAATTCTATCTCTTAAAGGAGATAATGTTTTCTTTCCCAATGGTATTAATATCATGTTGGAAAAACTTTCTGAAAACCTTAATATTGTTTTCAATGCTGAAGTAAAAGCAATCGATTACAGTAAAGATAAAGTGGAAGTGATAACTTCCATTGGTAAATATTGCTTTTCCAAAGTCCTTCTCACAGTTCCTCTTCCTGTGTTGCGAAATAATGAAATTGTTTTCACTCCTCCGTTGCCAAATTATAAAATACAAACATTTAAACATATAAGTGATTATAAATGTGCCAAGCTGGTTATGCAATTCCCCAAGAAATTTTGGGTAAGAGATGGCCAAAAAGAGTTTAGCGAATTCAGCGTAATATCTGATGATAAATTTTTCAGCTCTTTTCTTGATTTGACGGTTAATGATGCATATTCTACTCCAACGTTAGTGGCTCTTCTTTCTCCTAGAGCTTGTGAAATATTAAAAGAAATTGATGAAGAAAGCATTTTAGAAATTTGTATGAAATTTTTGAAAGTTACTTTTTTGCTTAAAAAAAGAATACCTTTACCTTCTAAGTGGTTATTGATTGGGTTAAATGACAGTTGCTGTGCAGGAAGTTATTTGAAAGTCGGGAGTAAAGTGACTGCATTTGATGATATGGCCGAAAGTGTTGAGAACAAGCTTTATTTTGCTGGGGACTCTACTTTTCGTAATGCACCTGGCTGTTTGACTGGAGCTTACTTGAGTGGATTAAGGGAGGCTTCAAAAATATCAGAACATTTTAAGCTTTTGTAGACAACTATTTTTATAACTGTGATAACAATAGGAGGTACTTTGGGATTATCCCACCTACCAGTACATTGGGTTTATCCCATTGACCTGTACTTTGGGATTACCCCGTCGACCTGTGAATGCTCACGAAAGTGTGCAAATCCTTAGGTGCCATCATAATGAAAAGCAATTTCCTAAACAAATATTCTAAGCATGATAAATTTATTGCATAATAATAATAACAAAAAAATATTAGTGTAAAAATAGGTAATGAAAAAGTGTAATAAAAAGAATCAAAACACAGTAAAAACCTTGAATTTTTTTTATAATTTCTCATTGAATTATTCTTATTAACTAAATATGTTATTATAAATCTTTCCAGCAGCCGAAATTCCTTGATAGCTTTTAAAACGCAAACGAACAAGTTATTATCCTTGTGCAGTCATTGCCACATAAATCCCTTTAAATATGAATCCAAGTGTTTTCAAGTAGTTCCACTGTTTCTCATCTGTCAAATAATATTAATCTCTTTGGTGCTAGGCAAATCCCAAATTCAAATCATTTTGCAGAGGCGTTAAAAAAAAACAGTATATTTCAACACGCTAAAGAAAACCAACTCATGTAGTTAAGGTTTACACGGTAAATATGATGAAATTTGCTGTCATTGGTGCAGAAGTTGCCTTCTGGCGAAAATAGTCAGAATAATCCCAAAGTACCCAGTAGTAAATTTATTATTAATTTTTATGGTTGAAAGTTTTATTTTATAATAATGACTTTTATTATGTTTAATATGTCCGACAAATAATGTAATTTTTAAATTTTGAGTAGTAAAGTAAGAAAGGGATTATTTATTTATAATAGCATAAATGCATGTTAATCAAGATTGATTGATTTTACTCCTCAATTGATTTTTTTTAAATCAATTAATTGGTTGAATGGACTAGATATCCACATAATAGAAAAATGCTTACACATTACTGAAAATCATGAATTGCTGAGTTAATTTTAGTTTTAAACCCATGATATATTAATTTTGGAAAATTTGTGTTTATATATTGAATAATTTTTTTTAATTTGTTTAATGTTTTTTTTCTTCAAAAATCATGTGACAAAGTTATGTTTTTTTAAAGTTTTTTTTTAAGTGTTTTGGTCCAGTCACGAATAAGACTGATTTTGGCATTCTTAGACTAAACAGAGAATTAGATTTGCAGTGGTATCATCATTTTCTTTATCTTTTGGTTGCTAGATATTTATATACTGTCTCTCCTCTAGTCACCGCTATCTGAGTCCTGATGACTCAGTGATTAAAGGCACGGTTCGGTTAAGTTATGACCAGGGGTGATTGTATTCCGGGGGTACCCTGGTAATCCGAGTTTTTCTTATCTTCCTTCTGGGTCTAAAAACTCGAAGCGGGGCATGCGATTTTTGTACGAATATTGTAGAATTCCAACAAAATATTGGAGCTTTTTCTAAATCCTGTTAACGAAACATTTACATATGTTCTTCAGTCGATTACGGGAAGAATTATGTCTTACGTGATTCTTCCACCAATTTGATTCTTTTGGTTTGGCAAACTTTCGCCGTTTTGAATATTTAAAACTGCATCAGAATCTCCTAATATAGCGATTAATTGTGCATCACATTTCATATTCACGTGATTTAAAAGTCCAACATTGCGATTTGTATTTACATGTTTTTAAAACCTGATATCGCGATTCGTATTTACTTTTTCCCTAAAGGCATGTTTTATTTCCCTTTTTAAAATGTATTCCAAACTACGGCCATTCAATTTATATCTAGAAATGTTTGGGGTCCAGGTTTCCATCTGGTACCTTCAGTACTCTAGGTGGTTGTACCCTCAATCTTTCTAGCAGCACAATCAACTACGTGCCAAGTACTTTTTCTCATTGCATTTGCCCATTACTACATGAAATTAATCTAACTCTGGAAGCCAGCGACAGGATTCGCGATCATGTGGATGAAAGAGAAAAATTTCCTTTTTGATGAAGCAAATGGCCTACACTGATCATCCTGTTATTTACTTTTTACTAAGACTGGCTCTGATCAAAAAAAATTCCACCCAAGAGCGCAGCTGGGTCTGCAAATATCAAAAAAATTTTAGCATCATTTGTTCAAAACCTACCTTCAAGATTATTTTTTATCTTCTCATTTTTATCAAAGGGATCTCATTTAGTTGGCCCCATCTATACAAACTATTCTAAACTTACCTAATCCTGCCCAGCTTCTGATCAATGAATACTAACTTGTCTTTATTTTTTTTTAATCTAGCTCCTCAAGAAAATATTTGCTGTTGTACTTTGTTTTACAATTTCTTAAAATTTTAAGTTTTTAATTCAAGTTGAAAATACTTGATTACCAAATTAATATAACATGAAATTTAAAAAAATAATAATACGAGATACTTGAAACTTTATAATTTTGAAAAATAATAGTTATGAAAGGTGCTTAATTGTACGTACAAATCCAAGATACTTTCTACTCTTTTTTTAATTGCAACATTAAGAAAATTTATGTTGGTCTAATTTATTATGTTAAAAATCTTCAAGGTGAATTTTATCAATTCATTGAATTAATGATACCACTAAAACATCAGTTTATGGAATGCCAAATATATATATGTAAGCTAGTCATAATGTTATTTCAAAAATTTTGTAAAAACTTCAACTTTTTGTCATTTAAATTTAAAAGTATGATATTTTTTATGATGTATTTTATACAATTTCTTAACAGTTCGGCAGAAAACTTTAATAAGCTAAGGTTAAATTAACATTTTGTAGATTAGCATTTTGAATGTAACATGGTTTTAATTATATCTTAACTTACTGATGTAATTTTTTTGTAGTACTTTTTATTAAATGCACTTTGTAAATAAACTTGGTTATTTTTTATTGCTTGAAAATTTTATTTAATGAATAGACAGTATCCTATTCTACATAGATTATCTAGCAGTTCCTGGTTATAGGCTTACCTATTAAGTTGATTGGTGTTTAGTGCAATCAGAACCTGATATGAAACATATTTCAAACCAATTTTCTCGCTTCTTTATTTTTAACTTTTTCTCTGCATTTTTGTTGATCTTATTTCATGTTAGTATATTATTTAAAGTGGGAATTTTTTCCAAAACATAAGTTTCTAAAATTTTCTCGCAGAATTTAGAATGAAAATCCTGAATTATGTTTTGAATTCTATTGCTAAGTTGATTCTGAAGACTTATTATTAATCTATGCTAAAACAGTGGGAAATTTTCCACTAACGACTAGTTAAAAAAAGAAGAAATATTTTTTATAAAGTAAATCAAAATTTTTGTGGAATTCGTTGCCAAGGAGTATTAACATCTAAGTTTTAAATGTAGCCATGTTCTGGATAAATTGTAATGTTTTTTAGACATTTTGTGCCTTTTTTCTCTCCAATTTGTCATTTAAAAAAAGTTTTCAAATCTTTTTCAATTCACAAATTTTATTTTTTAAATAAATGAATTAGATTACCATTGATGAAACTTTCTTTAGCTTTTGTGGCATAAATTTCGATAAAAATAAAGAATTTATTGCAAATTTTTTTGTTCAGTTTGCATTTTAGAAGTATTTCATGAGTATACTTACATTTTTTTTAATGATTGTGTAATTTTAATGTTTATTTTTCTTATTATGAATAATGTGCTGAAGAAACTTTCTGTAGACATAACAAGACTATTTTTCACCAGAAATCGTTTTTTAAAGCTTAAGTGCCAACATATTAAGTATATAAAGCTTATTAAGGTTATTTTATGATGGCTATGATATTTTCATAACTGCTGTGAGTTTACAACAGTTATTTACGCCTGTTAAGTCATATTTAGGCTATCATTAGCCAGCACACTTTATGCTAATTCTGAAAACGCTGCAAAATGGCTATATGCTAAAAAGCCTCAGTTTTCTGAAAATGAGAAGTATTTTTAATCTACATTTTTAATATTTAAAAAGTTACTCTAATGCTGCGTAATCTGCCTTCATACAAATTAGCAGAATTTGGAAATTATTCATTGATTTTATTAACTTTTATCTAGTTTGGAAAATCTCGCCAAATTGGCAATTTTTAAAAAAAGGTTTAATAATTTTTTCATTTGTTATTTGTCTAGTCATTTACCCTTTCTAAAACCCAGATAATTTTTTGACAAGTTGCTATTTATAGTTTAAAAATTATAACTTTTCTTCAAGTGTAAGGTAGTTAGATTGTCACTTTTTATACTCTTTAATGAAAGAGCTCCAAAAAACATTGTTAAATTCATTATCACTTTTCGTTTGTTACTTTCATTTCACATTGCTAGTTTTTTAAGTTCATTATCACTTTTTACAACTGCTTAATCATTTTAAATTAATCTTCAATTATTCGTCTTTTATCAGTTTACTGGATTTTAATTTTGTCGTTATTTTATCTCCACCATATCTAGTGATAGCCATATCATGTGATTATGTGCTTGTAAATAGTTCAGAATCACTAGAGCAGAAATGACCTTCCTATGCCACTAGGTGGCATGTGACAGGTATTTTGGTGGTGTGTGAGAAGTACATACCACATTTAATCTTATTCACTAACAATCTCCGAAAACATTAAAAAAAACACCTATGCATTAAGTTCATCATGGGTGAAATCAGAAAGAATCATGTGTGCCATTATGACATTTTCCAGGATATAAGATCAGGGGTCTGTCCAGGCCGAATTTACTACCGTTTAGCAGTACCTTCACAAATTCACTTTAGAAAAAACGGTAGTTTCACAAAATACTTTTTCTTGAAATTTTATTTTTGTATCCCTTAAGAAATGATAAATCCATATTTTTACCATATTTTTGTGTTGATTTTTTAATATAGTTTTTAATTTTTTACAAATTATGTCTAAATTTTCACAAAATAGGTACCTTTCAGAAAAAGCTGGACAGATCCCTGAAGATTGACTATAGTTCCCTTTCCACTATGGAAGTCTATTTTTCAGAAGAGATCCATGAAAAACTAAATATATCTCGCATTTATAACCTCAATTTCATCTTATTGAGCCAGGGTGGCTCAGGGGATAAAGCGTTCGCCATCCAATATGGTGAACCTGGTTCGAATCCTAGTGATGCCTGGTCTGAATTCCGCATCCAGCTTTCACCGATCACAGTCCTGATGTAAAATATCCTTATTGGTAGACGGAACATGGGCTAGAGTCCCCTTGCTGTCAGGCTAACTGTGGCCGTTTTTCCTTTCCATATAACGCAAATGCGGAGTAATTCCATCAAAAAATCCTCCACAAAGGGAAAATTTCTCCCAATACTTGATCCTTGAGTACCCTTGTCTTCTGGATTGGGTTCAAAATTATAAGGGTATGGAGTTGAACATTGGTTGTCGTAAACCCAAAATTGGGTCAGCTGTTCAGCGACGGCTATGAAATAAAATAAAAATTCATCTTATTGTTTACCACAAAGAGTGTCTGTTTAAATATATTTTACCTTAGCTTAATATTAAATTGAAATAATTTTAAAATACTGTTTATTTGATTTCCATTTGAAGCAAGTTAATAGCTAAAAAGAAAATATAGCTATATGATATAATTCTGCAGTTTAAAATCATAGCAAAATAGTTTAAAAATTATTTTTCAAGACAGAAAATAAACAGTTGTTGCCTAAAAATAATAACAGTTTTTTAACTGGCACAGTAATCGAAAAAAAGTCGCCATTTCTGCATTAGAGGATTTCTATTTAAGTCATCGTGAGTGAATTACAAGCAATCATGTAAATTTTAGAAGCTCATAATTAATGATATAGGTATTTATAAAGTTTTTTTTTTCTTTCTACAAATTTTTGATATATATGTTAATTAAAAAAAAATAATAAAGATAATCATTTTTATAATTGAATCTTATTAAAAGTTAGTATTATTTAGAAAGCTTTCTCTGTAATGAAAAGGAAATGTTTTCCTGTAGTAACATTTGATTGTGTCTAAAGTTACAAATTTCTTTTATTTTAAATTTATACATTTATAATTTTGTGCAATATGGTGTTTGAGAAATTAAATAAGAAAAGATAGTATACTTTTTTGTTTCTTGTTTTCAAAGACTTTCAGTGAATAAGAAAAGATTATTAAAAATAGTTTCCCTTCTTACATCATAAAAAAAGTTTCTCATTTCATTTTAAAATTGATTTGTTATAATCCATGGAACTTTGGATGATTTAATGCTAACAACTTCAAAGGTGTAAAGAAAAGTTGTTCAGCATTTTTTTTTCTTTAAATTATTATTTTTTTTAACATTTAAGTTGTTGGCTGAACCTTTTAATATAGTGAAGAAATATCAGTTTCAAGTAGTGTCAGAGATTGACACTTGTGGGCAGTTGGTTGCCATGGAGACAACATCTATTGCCATAGTGATAAGACTTTTATTATGAACTGAATAAGCCTTGTATTTATGTGCATAATATAACTGTTCTAGAAGAGCATTAGTTTATTACTAAGAAATATAGCTCCAAAAACTTTTGAATTTTTTAATTAAATAAGTTAAATTTTGAATTTAATAGCAATTTTCATTAACAACATTAAAACTGTAATTTTTACTGTAATTTTTCATTGCTTCTTATAATACTATAAGTGATTAAATTGGATCCTGAAGTTTCTAATTTCATTGATTTGAAACCTGAATTATTATTATATTTTTTAAAATGATATTTCTAATGTTGCAAAAATGATTAAAGAATATTGAGGTATTTTTGGTTGGAAAAGAAATATTTTAGGTTTTGTAGAATATTCTAAGAAAAATGTTATAATTTGCTTGACTATAAATTTTATTAGATCTTAATTCTTTTCAATTTAGTAAGGAGAAAAATATTTATACACTAATCTTGTCATCTGTTCTATTTTTAGTGCTGTCATGCTTTTAATTATATTTCAGATAACATCTTGAGAATTTACAATGAATAGTAAAGAATCTATTGAAGCTTCACTCGAAGAAAAAACTTCAACAAACAATTTTAAACTTCAAAGCAAAGAAGCGTTAAAAGATGAACCACAGCGTGAATTTAATTCCAAAGTAGGCTCTATATATTTAAATTCAGTTTCTATAAATTTATAACTTTAAGAAATGTATATTTTTGATTAGTTTTATAGGTTCTTTTAAGCTATAATTGGTGAAACATAGTGACAAATTTTTTAATGAAGATCATTATAATTCTAAATGACAATGATAATTAGTGTCAGGTATTGTAGATATTGTTAATCAGTATTTTTAGCATTTAGTTGTTCTAGAAAAGAGTATCTAATCCATATCTAAGATGTTGACAGAGGAAAACTTTTAAAACTGTGAGTCTATTTTTATCTGTTTTTCTTATAGACTCTTTCTTAAATATAAATACTTTATGTATGTCTGTAGATTTATATATCTATAACACACTGCTATAAATTAATATTCTTTAGATAATGGTAAAAACATTCTCATCAACATTATATCAATGTGTATGCCAGGTTAAAAATGTGCCTGACTACAAAGCCAATGGCTGTAGGTTGGATGTTTTTGTCTGTGTGTTGTCCTCTGTTGTGTGTGGATGTGGCCTTCCCTATGAACGGGTATCTGTGGCAGTGTGACGTGAGTAATGTTGCTCACCTCCGTGACTTAGGTTCACAGGTGCCCACTGGGCAATCTTAAATGAGCAACACTTCCGGCATCTTCTTAGGTGAAAAATGGAAGTTCAGTACTTGCTGTTAAAATATATGTATATTCATTTAAAATGTTTAAATTACAAAAGGAATGATGAAAACTTTTTCTTTCAACTTCCTACTTACCGTACAGTAGTTCGTTAATTAAGTAATGTCTAATTTTGGAGGGGGTTTTGTTCCCCAAAACCACCTCACTGTCTTTACATATTTAATTATGGTTGAAAATATTTTAAATTCTCATTAAATGAAAAATATTTAATGTGAAATCATATTATTTATTTAGCCCATTTATACATTAATTTTTTTTATCAAAGGGATGCTTATAGCCTGTACTGAAATTTTTTTTCACTAAATTAAATTCCTTGTTATTACTCAATAATTTTAAAAATCTCATTGATACTAACATGGAAAAACTGTACAAGCCCTCAATTTAGTGTAAGTTTTTTTCTTTTTTCATTAGAAATATTTGCACTGCCAAAAAAAATTAATGGCATATTTTGATAGTTAAAAAAATTAAACTATCAAAAACTGCAGCTAAACTGAAAAAAAAAGATGTTTGCAGTGGGATTAAAGAATACTTAAGATTGCCTTTAAGTATTTAATTATAGTTGAAAATATTTTAAATTATCATCAAACAAAAAATATTTAATGTGAAATCATATTATTTCTTCAGCTCATTTCTAAATGTTTTTTTTTTATTAGAGGGATGCTTATAACCTACACTGAAATTATTTTTTTCACTGAATTAAATTTCTTAACTATACTTTCTTGTTATTAATCAATGACTTTAGTCATCATCGATTACTAATCGATGATGACTAATCATTGATAATTAATTACTACATTGATGTCTAATCAATTTTAGTAATGATTTAGTGATTCGATGAAGTCTTAACAACCCTTAATGTGGTGTAAGTTTTTTTCTTTTCTTTTTTCATTGAAAATATTTGCACTGCCAAAAAATGTGAACGACGTCAAGTGTACTTAAACTATCGATTATATATGTTTAGATTGAAATATTGGTTGAATTGGCTCAAGATGATCTTCGACCTTTTGTTCTATCAGACTGTTATGCAACTGATCAGCCAGGAATGCAACTGGAAATTTTACCGAAAATAATTTTTGATGCATTAGATGAAGATACAGAAGAAGATGCTATTGATTTGCCAAAGCCGATTTTCCGTCAAACAATTGAACAACAAACTCAAGTAGGTTGATTTAAAAGTCATTACTCATTTAATGATTTTGCAATAAGTAGTAAAAAAAATTTCCACTTAAAATTACATTTTTGTAGGCTGTACGTAGAAGTCTTAATATTAATTATGTGTAATTTATATATTTGTTGTCTTTAAAAGTGTTTAAAAAGTATTACATAAAATATTTTGAATATTAATAAAATTTAAACTGTTTGGTTAAGTGTCTCTAAAAGTAAAAAATCTTTTTATAGTCACTTGTATTTTAATTAATACTTACTGATCTGTCATTGTAAAAATTGATACAAAAATTCAAAATTTATGCAAGAGTTTAAATCTGAAGAATAAATTATAAATGAATTAGTATGACGTAACTTTAACATCGATGTGTTTTCTTTCTTTCTTTAAATAATTTTATTATAGTTAAAACTAAATTATTTTAAAAGTGTGGTTTATTTCGTAACTTCATAATAATTATTCAATATTCTTCCATTTTAAACGAATTACATTTTAAGAAAATCATTTTGAATAGAAGTGCAAGTTACAATAGAATAATGAATTAATCGAAGAATTAATAGAAGGATAGATGTAAGGAACAGAACTATAGTAGATTCATGATTTTCGCAAGGAGAGAAAGAATTGTATTACACGTAATATTAAGGCGGTTTTTTGAAGTATCCGTCGTGATATGAAATGATGCTTTTTTGCGAATAATATGGTATTTTTATAAATGCTGTGATTTTGAAATTGTTACTCATGACTGTTTGGTCAAGTTTAGCCTATCTAACACCAGCGCTGTCTACGCTTATTTTGAAAATGATGCACAATGTTAATATGGAGAAAAGCCACAGTTTTGCGAAAATGAAAAAGTGTTATGGTTTTTTAATATTTAAAAACTTACTCCATTGCTGCATTACCTGGGCTCGTAAAAATTGGCAAAAACTGAGAATAAATCAGTGATTTTGATAATTTTCATCTAGGTGGAAAAACATCGCCAAATTGGCGATTTTTAAAAAGTTTAATAACTTTTAAAATATTTAAGTTATTTGCCTGTTTTTAAAGCCAAGATAATTATCGCATTGCTTTAAATGTAATGCACTTAAACTATAGTTTTTTCCCCTTGGCAACAGAGCTTCGAAAAACAGCATTAAACAAGAAGCGAAAACTAGTGACTGATTTTTTTAAAAAAATGCGTAACTAAATATTTTTATGTATGAGCACCTTTATGAAGCATATATATGTACTATTTTTTTTTATCAGTTATTATTTAAGTGATTTTGTTGCAGAACAATCATTTTCTTTGTAAGTTTGAAATCTAAACGCATGTATGAGTAGATTTAAAAATTAATTTTTGTGTTTTGAGTTTTTCAGAATTATCTGCGTGCATTTTTTAAATCTGCGATGCCCTAGTCACCCACAAATAATCAGCGTTCTACTGTATCTTTTTTGAAACTTCTTAAAAGTCCAGGAATACTTACTAATTCTCATAATTATTTTCATCACATATTAGATGCATGTATACATCATACTATATTGTTACATAATGTATACATTATAGTATATTGTTAGATGATGTATATGTTACCGTGAATGACCAAAATCAAGAGAATGTCAATTTTCACCGGTGAATGCCAAAAATTACATAGTCTCTCTGGTGCATGTCTGAAATATTTGTTATATCTGATTTGATATTACTTTATTCATTTACATTATTATATTTTAATATCCACTGAGGATAGATTAGGAGAAACATTAGTGATCGGAGTACTGGTTAAATTTTTACTGGGCAGTGACACTGAACCTTAAATAAACATCAGTGAAGGGTAAACTGGTCTGTGGAACTTAAATAGACCTGGTATATATTTCGGACAATTACCAAAGCGACTATGTGATTGTCAACATTCACCAATGGAAGTCAACAACCACCAATTTCGGTCATTCACAGTAACATTTACATTATAGTACATAATTTGATGATGTATATGTTACCGTTAAAGTATGAAATCCGTTATTTTATAGAATACCTAGCTATTCCATGAAATAACTGATCGCGATCCGTTAAAGTGTAAAACTCTCTTGTATTTCATGGTTTAACTAGTTATTTCACAGAATAACGATCTGCAGCCTGTTAAAGTGTAAGATAATCAATATGCTACAGCTCAAAGTTTAGGTACTGGTCAGGGATTTAAAAAATGTTGGTGTAAAACCCAATATGTCAACAAAAAATTTTTTTGTTTCAGAAATAATGTTCTTTGTAATTCCAAGTGTCATTTTAGTAATCCTTGTTGTAACAAATGATTTAATGGTACCTTTCCATAAATACCATTTATGCGCTGCATAAATTAGATAAATTGCTTCTTTTTCATTTTAATTGTCGATCATTAGTTTATTTATAGAATACCTAGTTATTTCATTTTAGATAAATTGTTTATTTTGCACTTTAACTGTCTCTCATTAGTTAATTTTTAGAATACCTAGTTATTTCATAGAATAACTAGTTAAAGTGTCAAATTAATAACATATTACAGACTTTAACGGACACGATCAGTTATTTCATGGAATAACTAGGTATTCTATGACATAACTGCATTGTATACTTTAACGGTAACATATACATTTAATAATAAAAAGTGAAAAGGAATGAAATCGCTATACATTTTGTGCATTTTGAAATTATTTTTTTTAAAAAAGGACAATTTTGCCCTGTTGTTTTTTCCCTAATTTTGTTAAAAGATAAAAATGACTAGAGACTAATAAACAATAAATTTATTTATCAATGAATGTGCCACTAGAAACACTTTTTTTTGGTACAAGAAATAACTGTTTTCAAATTATAACAGAATATATATAGAAGTAAAAATCATTGACTGATAGGAGTAACTATTCCATATCAATCATCAATGATTTTTACTTCTATAATTTATTTCTACTTTTCTTTTCAATTAGGCTTCTGTTGTGCACAAAAACAGCAGTGCACAAACAATTAAGAGAAGATTAGTTAATTCTTGGTGTCAGTATGAACCAAGATTGTTTTCTGAAGATGAAAAAGAAGAACATATGATTGAGAGTTCTTTTCAGTCTTTTCTGGTATCAGCTGAAAAGAGGTAAAATATTTGATTTGATTGGTATCTGTATAGCAAACTGTTATTATGCTCTTACAGGTGTATGGAATTTGTTTTCTTATTAGAATGTTTTTTTGGGGGGGCTATTTATAGTTTTTTTGCAAAAAATTGATTGATTGGGGCATTCTTATATCACTCAACTTGTAGTAAAGTATTACTGTCAAAATGTTTTTGAAATAAAGCTTTTAATTTTTAGCTGAGAAACTTCAGTTTTACTATCAGTATTTTCAATAATTGGTATCTATTAAAATTGTACTATTGTATTTTATTTCATAGCCATCGTAAAACAACCCACCCAAATTTTGGGTTTACTACTATTAATGTTGAACTCTGTAGCCTTGTAATTTGGAACACAATCTGGAAGACAAGGGAACGCCTGGATCAAGTATTTGGAGAAATTTGCCTTCGTTTAGGACTTTTTGCTGAATCTAACCCGCATTTGTGTTACACGGAGAGGAGTATCATGAAATTCTCCCACGATTAGCCTGATGACAAGGGAAAACATGACCTAAAACTGAGGATAGTTAAGCATCAGTACTGTGGTCGGTGCGAGCCGGGTGTGGAATTCGTATTGATCAGCCATCAGTGGTATTTGAACCTGGTTCACCTCATTGTATGACAAATGCTCTATCCCCTAAGCTACCACTACTCGTACTATTTTATTGTAAATTGTACTATTGATTTTAGTCTGACCATTTAATATATTTATTTATATTTTATCAATTTTTCCTCTTACTATTTGAAGAGCTTCGGCCATTTTCTTTTTATCAGACAAATACAAAGTAGCCTTCATGTGAATGTTGTATATCACGTAGCTAGTTATGTAAGGGTTTGTAATATTAACCATACAATAAATTATTATATTATGGCTAATATTACTAACTATTACGATACAGACTGTTATATACTGTTTAGAAACTTAAATTGGTTGATGCAAAATAATATTATAGATATTTTTCGTGTTTATTATAGTTAATATTAAAAACTGATAAGATACGAACTTTTATAAACTGTTTTGAAAATTGAAATAATTGATGCAAAATAATATTATGTATAATTTTCACAGTGTTTATTATGGTTAATATTAGAAACTGTTAGGATATGAATTTCTAATTGACTGTTTGGAAACTTGAATTGGTTGATGCAAAATAATATTATGGATATTTTTCATAATAATCAAAAAATTTTATGATTTATATATTTAGGATATTGACCTCATTGATGCAAAATAGTATTGCTGATATTTTCCATAATGATTTAAATTCCTTATGTGACAATGGTACAGTTACAGAAGAAAAAGAATCACTGATAAAAGTTGAGTAATTAAAAAAAATTTTTTTCATTTGCTATTGTGAGTGTTTATTGTGTATTTGCTTTTATGTGGCAGTGGCACAGTTACAAAAGGAAACGAGTCATTATAAAAGAAATACTAGTCAATTAAAAAATTTTTTTATTCACTATAATTAGTGATTTAGTTGTGTTTCTTTAATGCATATTTTATGTGTTTTATAATAAGCATATTTTCTATATAGTTTTTAATTTCTATATATTTTAGGTTATTGGTTCATTTATCTGTCCTGAGAGTACAGAAAAAAAGCAATTTATCAGTTCAATACATTGGCATGCCTTATTCAAAGGTAATATAGTCTTCTTGTTCTTTTAAAATGTTTCTTTTTATAAAGTATTTTTTTTTTGTTGCTTTTTACTTGAATCGACCTACATGAAAATTGACCAACAAAGCGGGAAATGATTAAACACTTCACACACTGCCTAGATATTGTATATAGTCCTAATAAGTAAAGTATATAATATGATTATTGTATGCTTTTATTTCGGCCATTGATAATGATCTATTAGTATTAAGCGAAAACAATTTCTTGATGCAACAAGTTGGTTTATATTTTATTTTGTTTTCTTTAATAGGAAAAAAGCGCCTAAATTTTTAATGATTGCTCTGTATTATTACTAAAACTTGGATTAACATGCCAGTAAGGCATATACTTGCCTGGTAAACTCTACAACAATAAAAATTTTAAGGTAAAGGGTTTACTTATAAACTATTCTGTTTGAAGTATATTATAGTTCTCGTATTTCATACTTTACCTAAAAATGCCTTGCGCATTTTTGCTAATACGCATTTTTTAAATTTTGTGCTTCTATCTTAAATTTTTACCATTCTAGAAAAATCAATATTTCTCAATTTGTTCTTTAGTTGTAAATATTTTGTTCTAAATCAATTGCTTATGCAAAGTAATTTCATTTATCTCATTTTCTAAAGGAGACAGCTCATTTTTCTGGACAAACTACTTTTTTGAAGAAAAAATTTTTTTTGATATAATTTGTATGTAGCTTTTAAAATAATAAATTTTTCAAAAAAAATGTTGCAACATTTAAGAAAAAAATGTTTCAAAAGTTTTCTATATTTTCACATTCTAACTACACGGACAAAGTAAATTGTTTCACAAGGCTATTTTAAAATATTCAGAACTATGTACATGTAATAATGATGCAGAAAGTTATAACCTACTCTGAATATAAAATGGATGAATGTAAAAAAAAAATATATATATTGTAACCAACTTATAAAGTTTATGTGAAATTCTTTCCTATTAAGTGTTCCATTTTTTGAGTAAAATATAATTTACGGCATCATCATCGTTCATATAGTTTTCGATGTTTTAAATTAACTTTGTTGAATAATTAACCTTTTTTATATATTTCAGGAAAGTATATATACATATATGTCTATGCATATATTATGAACTCAAATCTGATTAAAAGTTATTTTTCTAGATCTCTTTATTGCATCAAATATGTCAACCTCATCATTTGAAGAACAGGCATCAAGCTTACTGAGACATTATCTTAGTCCTGTGTGTTTATTCATATGGAGTGCTAGAAATCAGTTTAGCCCTAAAGTATGAATTTCTTCCTTTTTTTTCTGCAATGATTATTTTGGAAAATTTAATTACTTTAATAATTTAAGTTACAATTGCTAGGATATTAACTGAATCAAACACATATTTTTGCAAAGAACAGTTTAAAGCAAGATCGGTTTTAGCTGCAGAATATGTTAAGATATTTTATTTTTATTTACAGTTCACTCTTAATATCTTGAAAACCTTGTTATGTCAAAAAAATATTTTTCCCCTTGACATTATGTATCCACATAATGTTAATTTGAATTCCTATGTCAAAGAGTTTCTTCTCAAAACTTTGTTATGTCAAAATTTTGTTCGAAACAGAAATGGAATTTCTTTGGAAGTTTATTGTAAACCAATTCTTTTCTATTTAAGGCATAATTATTTTTATCTTACTTTTAAAAATAAAAACTATCATTGTTGTGTTTCGACTTATAGACAAGTATCATTATATGCATATTTAATAGTAGTTATTCTTATGTTTCATGACTGTACTTCTTAGAGTAATATTTTAGAATATATTTTTCTACTTTTATAACATATTTAGTTCTGAACTTGTTATCTCGAAAACTCGCTATCCCGAAATGTTTTTAGCATCCCCATAGATTTGAGATATCGAGAGTATACTGTAATATGTATGAAGTCGAAACCAGATTCATTTATCATAGATCCAGCATTTTACAAATTTCATTAATTTCTTAATCCTCATACCATACTTGAACCAATGAACAAGTGACATTTTCAAGAACTATTTTTAATTTTGCAACTCATTTCCTTATATCTTTGTTTACAGATACTCACAGAGTTTCCTCGTCTGTCTAAAATTGAATTTTTGTTTAGGTTTAAGAATCCCTTCATTTCTTTGGAATCAGAGCAAAAAGCCAAATAATGTTGAAAAATTTCTTCTTTGAAGAGAAACCTCTGGTTTAACTGTGACCTCATTTTTTCTTTCATTACTTTCTTGTATTGATCACTGTTTATCATTCTTTTAATAAAAATATTTGGTCTTATTCCATCTTCTTCTTTTATAGCTAGCTCTGCAGCCCTTGGTGGTCCCTGGCTAGTTCCACAATTATATTCCCTACAAACTCAGTTTTAACTTCTCCCCCCACCTATGGATCTTTGTTATTTCCGAGTCATCAATAAGGTCGGCCTGATTCCCCATAGGTGTCCAGTTGATGATCTTTTTCAAGCCATAATTATTGTCTCTCCCTTTTATGTGTCTAAGCCACGAGAGGTGTTGGGATTTGATAAGCTGTACTTATTCCATAAAATGAAAAAAATAAATCCCACAACATTTTCGTTCCTTCTAGTTGGAAAGAGGGTTTCTTTTCTTCTAGTCTAGTCTCTCCTGATTCAATTATGCTCGCTATTGAACGAAAATATAAAGCAAGGATTTTTTTTAATGAAGAATTTTTTATCTTTGGAATTTTATTTCTCTATTATGATTAGAATTTTTATTATCTCTTTCATAAAAACAATTTCAAATGTATTTTTGCTTCATTTTATTGTAGTTTATTCTGAGGTGCAGTGATGAAGTTCGAGTTGTGAAATTCAATCCTTGTATACCAGGTCTCATAGTTGGGGGTACTATCTCTGGAAAACTAGTACTGTGGGATATTAAAAGTAAGCTTCTTGGGGATCGTTCCTTGGAAGAAGAAGACAGTGATAACTTTTACAATGTAAATATATTTTAAAAAGCAATACTCTATGTTTTATTTATTTTTTTTAAATCATACAACATATCTGAAAGTGAAATTGATTTTTTTTACAAGTTAAATATTTATATAGTTTTTTGTTTACAAATAACTAAGCAGTGTAATGACCACCCATGTCTATTTTTAGGATCCTTTTAAAAAAAAGAAGTAAAAAATACATCTAAATTAGGAGTCCTGAATTAATATTTAAGGGACGTAAAAAACAAATATTGTTCAAAATGTAATGAATAACTAATTAGCAAAGTAGGACTGAAAACAGTAAAACCTGTTTGATTGTTGAAGGAAACAGAGAAGAGCTGTAAAATGCTTTGTAAAAGGACCACCAAGTTTCACAAGAGGATAAGTTAGATAAAACTATTTCTGTTTTATAAAAACTTTTTGATAAAACTATTTCTGTTTTATAAAAACTTTTTGATGAAACAGATATTCTCCTTTTAATGGCAGAGGCGGAGAGAAACAAAGGGTATGGGAAGATGAAAATTTACTTATATACTGCAAACACTCCGTGAGAGTTTTATGTAAATAATACGCTGTTTAAAAAATGTTATACTAGTTAACTAAGAGATAAAGATATTTCAAATTGCTTGTTAGCATTTATGAAGTAATTTTCGAGATTGAAATCCAAAACTATGATTCGATGGTCATGAATAGTCGCTTTTAATTCTTTATTACTTATAGAAATAAATTGTCAATATTTGATTCATTTACATATTTTACAAGGTGATTGTAATTGTATTATCTCATTACAATTCTTAATTCAGACTTACATTTTCTGTTCTGGTTAGATGTATGTGTTTTATGGTGCATAAGTACTTTGAAATTGGAAAAAGTTTTGAAATTATAATCCAAGACATAAATCAAAAAGTACTTTTGTTATATTTTTAAATTTAAAATATATAATCATAAGAGCGTAAAATGTTTAATAAAGAGAATCATGAAAAGAAAACTTGTCATCCTTGTCATTCAGTCAATGAGAGTGAAAAAAAGGATCTGGTAATTTTTAAAGAGAGGGGCCAGTTAGATTGTAAGGAAAGAGAAGGATGTGGGGCCCACGTGTCAGATAAGTAATTTTATTTAATACTGCCATTATATATATATATAAAAGTTCAAAATGTTGAGAAAACATTGAAAAATTACAGAACAATGAAAAAAGGGAAGAGAAAAATACTAATAAAAATAATCCGGGAAGAAAAAAAATTCTGAAAAAGGGGAAGAAAATTAATAAAAATCCGGAAAATCAAGATAATAATCTTTTCATCAGCTCACACGATTATATCAGCAAAAAGGAGTGCTTTCTAATATTGTATCAATATAGCAAAAGCAAAATATATCAATACAATAGTGTGAGGAGCACTCAAAAAAGTTTTTACGAGAAACTTACAACAAATAAAATAGAACTCATTAAGTAAAATTATCGTGTAAAAACAGAAAATAAAATATAAAGAAAAAACAGAATAAAACATAAAACGAAATCTATAAAGCAAGTAGCGAATTCAAATGAACTTACATGAACAGGAAATGTTTCAAGAATGATTTAAAATATTTTCTTAACGAGATTGCCAGATTACAAAATATGAAAACAGAAGTGCAAATTGAGGTAAAAGCGTAAATAGAGGGTTTTTATTTTATAGTGCGTTCTTACTGCAGTACTGGAATGAGTTTGATTTGCTATATATATAATATTTTTGTTTATATTTCTTTTTAATAAATAAGCAGTGCAGTCNACATATATATTTTCAAATTTATAAATTGATTTAAATCAATATGCGTATGAAGTCTTGATAGAAATCTGACTTTCTGTGCCTTAAAGTAAATGAAATTCAAAAATACTATATCGCGATACATCGCTATATCGCGATGCAAAACTGACGATATATCACGATATATAATTTCTAATATCGCCCAGTCCTAACCGTGACCTCATTTTTTCTTTCATTACTTTCTTGTACTGATCACTGTTTATCATTCTTTTGATAAAAGTATTTGGTCTTATTTAATCTTCTTCTTCTATCGCTCTACAGCCTTTGGTGGTCCCTGGCTAGTTCCACAATTCTATTTCCTACAAAACTTTGTTTTGACTTCTCCCTCCACATATGGATCTTCATTATTTTCAAGTCATCAATAAGGTCGGCCTGGTTCCTCGTAGGTGTCCAGTTGAGGATCTTTTTCAAGCCATAATTATTGTCTTTCCTCTCTATGTGTCCAAGCCACGAGAGGCGTTGGGATTTGATAAGCTATACTTATTCTATAAAGTGAAAAAATAAATCCCACAACATTTTCTTTCAGGAATTTTTTTTTATGATTAGAATTTTTATTATCTCTTTCATAAAAACAATTTCAAATGTATTTTTCCTTCATTTTATTGTAGTTTATTCTGAGTTGCAGTGATGAAGTTCGAGTTGTGAAATTCAATCCTTGTATATCAGGTCTCATAATTGGAGGTACTATCTCTGGAAAACTAGTACTGTGGGATATTAAAAGTAAGCTTCTTAGGGATTGTTCCTTGGATGAAGAAGACGTTGATAACTTTTACCATGTAAATATATTTCAAAAAGCAATACTCTATGTTTTATTTATCTTTTTTAAATCATGCAACATATCTGAAAGTGAAGTTAATTTTTTTTACAAGTTAAATGTTTATATAGTTTTTTTGTTTACACATAGCTAAGCAGTGTAATGACCACCCTTGTCTATTTTTAGGATCCTTTTCAAAAAAAGAAGTAAAAAATACACATAAATTAGGAGTCCCAAATTAATATTTAAGGGATGTAAAAAACAAACACGCTTTCAAAATGCAATGAATAACTACTGAGGAAAGTAGGACTGAAAACAATTAAACCTGTTTGATTGTTGAAGGATACAGAGAAGAGCTGTAAAATGCTTTGCAAAAGGTCCACTAAGTTTCACCAGGGACTTAAACTGGCTTTGATGTGTTGTATTGCTTCAACTGCAATTTTTTTAGATTTCCTATGTTTTAATGTTTTCCCTAGCTGCTATTGCTGCACTGCTTTTATGCAGCTGAAACGAAATTCGATCAAACTACCAGTTTCCGCTCAATTGATTCAAAAAAATGTCTGTTCTCTGATTGAAATTAAATATTTTGAACGTTTTTAAAATGTGATATCAAAAAAGTTTACCTTTGAAGGAAAGGATAAGTTAGATAAAACTATTTCTGTTTCATAAAAAACTTTTTGATAAAACACATATTCTCCCTTTAATGGCAGTGGCAGAGAAAAACAAAGGTTATAGGAAGATAAAAATTTTGTTATATGCTGCAAACACTCCATGACAGTTTTATGTAAATAATATGCTGTTTTAAAAATGGTATACTAGTTAACTTAGAGATAAATATATTTCAAATTGCTTTTTTGCATTTATGAAGTAATTTTCGAGATTGAAATCCAAAACTATCATTCAATGGTCATGAATAGTCGCTTTTAATTCTTTATTACTTATAAAAATAAATTGACAATATTTGATTCATTAATGTATTTTACAAGGTGATTGTAATTGTATTATCTCATTACAATTCTTGATTCAGACTTATATTTTCTGATCTGGTTAGATGTATGTGTTTTATGGTGCATATAAGTATTTTGAAATTGTAAAAAGTTTGGAAATTACAAATTATAATCTAAGACAAAAGTCAAAAAGTACTTTTGTCATATTTTTAATTTAAAATATGTAATCATAAGAGCCCAAAATGTTTAATAAAGAGAATCATGAAAAGAAAACGCATCATCCTTGTCATTCAGTCAATGAGAGTGAAGAAATGGTCTGGTGATTTAGAAAGAGAGGGGCCAGTTAGATTGTAAGGAAAGAGAAGGATGGGGGGGGGNGGGGGGGGGGGGGCACATGTCAAATTTACTACAAATAAAACAGAGCACATTAAGTAAAAATATGACGTAAAAACAGAAAATAAAATATAAAGAAAAAACAGAATAAAACATAAAACGAATTCTATAAAGTGAGTAGCGAATTCAAATTAACTTACATAAATGGGAAATTTTTCAAGAATGATTTAAAATATTTTCGTAACAAGATTGCCAGATTACAAAATATGAAAACAGAAGTTAATTTTACACTAACGATTGAACCGAACGATTTGAGGTAAAAGTGTAAATAGAGGAGTTTAGTTTTATAGTGCGTTCTTAAGGCAGTACTGAAGTGAGTTTGATGTATTATATATATGTATATTTTTTTTGTTTATATTTCTTTTTAATAATTAAGCAGTGCTGTCTCTCTTTGTCTCATGAGCATTTCTATATCTTAATTATTTAACCTGTTGGCCTCATAGGTTCAAAATCTCTTTATATATATTACTAGTATTCTCTTAATAATAATCTGTTGGCTACATGAGTTCTAAAAATTCTATGTTTTGTTTTCAGCTTAATTAAAGATAAATAAAAATGTTTTCTCTATTTGATTAAGGAATTTTGTTCTACCTTGTTTACTTTCTGCTCTTATATTTATGGTTTCCTTCATATGTGTGCGATGGTGAGCTGGATTTCGGTTTTATTTAAATATTTATTGCAAAATGCTGCTAAATTTTTCTATTTTTAAACCACAACGCCCATAGAAAAGTCTACATTCCCTCTTTACAACCCCAGGTTATCATCACAGTTGTTTTGCATTTCATCCTTTTAATACTGATTGAACAAATTTTAGTTGTGCTTTTGTTTTTCTTCTTATTTAAAGTATTATTCTCCTGATTCACTTTTAACCATTCATTTCTGTACAATATATAGCTGTGTACATAATTGTTGTGTACGTGATAATTAATTTCCTTTAAGATAAACAATGTTTAGCATTCATGCATACGTCAGCTCACCCATTTGATATGTCAGTTTTCATGTCTTTGTTGCAAAGGTGGAAAAGAAATTTTATTGGTTTTTAAACAATATACATAAGCGGTTTTTTACCAATAGCAATATACATTTTTTAACAATCTAATGTTTCTTGGGATTTTTTATTTAATGTACACAAACATTCATGCTTTATATAATAAGAAGATAGATGTTTAAAACTTAAAATTAAATTAATTTCATTTTTTTTACCAATTTTTAAAAGTTAAATAAAAAAAAATGATTTAGTCTTATATATATATCAGTAATTGGCAGTAAATTAATTTTAAATCTCAAATTTCAATACAAACTTTGTTTAAGTATTTTATTTAAGCCCATTATATTATTTTCATAATTCAGAAATCAAATTTGTTAGGTATAAATTTATTTCGTTACCTAGCATAATAAGCTTTTGTTATGAAAAATAACTTTCTATATCTGAGCAAATTTATTTTTTCTTTTTATAATTGTTATAGCCTTTCCTTTAATGAGTATGTGATAAAAAAAATGCTTTTCAATTGCAGATTGTGGCATTAAAATGCAAATTTTTAAAAAAAAATTATTTAAATTTCACTAACAGTTTTGAAATTTATTTTAAGGAAAGTCTTGTATCTTCTGACATTATTCCGTGTTGTGCTGCCTCTAGTTTGGATAGTGTTCATGTGTATGGAATCACTCATCTTGAATGGATTCCTTCTCATTTTGAGGTACAACTAGTTTTGATTATAAAGTTTTAAAGATATCGTGAGTGTGAGTGAATAAAACAAAATTTAGGTGTGTATGGTAAAAAAAAAAAAATTAAAAAAAAACGATGAATTAAATTAATGAGGAAATTCATAAAAAAGTGGTAAATACTAAACTGTTGCATTAAAAAAATATTACTTTAAATTTTGTAAAATATTTTATTGAAGAAGAATTTGTAGACAAATTTATCTTATTTTCAATTTATTAAACTTGATACTTTTTTGTCTTAATTACAATATTCTATAAATATTTAATTTAAAATTTTTCATTAACTGAATGGGTGGAGTGTCAATTTTCTTCCATAGTGGAAAAGCCTTTAATAAGAAATAGCTTTCTTTCATAGTGGAAGACTGTTTTTTAATCTGAAAATGGGAATTTTTTTAATGATGTAAAAAATTATTCCAAATAAAATATTACACTGCCCATCACGAGGTGCATTCAAATTATTAATATTCAGATTTTAAATTAAAATTTGTAAATTGAATGATCAACTGAAAACAAGGAGATTTAATCATTTTTATTAAAATAAAATGTAGGCAAAATATTTTATGATCTTATTTACATAAAATATTTTGCAAATCACTGACAGAAAACTAATAATAACTGCAATAAACAAGGTATATCGGAACTAAATTTCCTATTAAAATTAAATATTTAATTTAAATAAAAAAAATTGTTTTGTGGATATAAAAATAACTTTGGATGAATTTCATAAGTTTTGTAAAAAAAATCTCTCTGTCCATTTGGAGTTTCGTCTGTTCTGTCCTATTTCTTCCGGTTTTTTGTAGGTCTTTCAATTTCTTTAACACTTCGAGAAAAAAATCTGTTTCTTTTCGCTTTTTATTTTTTTAAGTTTGAGTTTTTTTTAATCAAACTTTTGTTTTCTGTAGGTTTCATTCAAAGGTGTTACTCAAAAGTTATCAACAAATACTTGTTTTCAAATAGTATCTTGTAGCCTAAATGGGTAAGCTATATGGTACATATTGTTAACATTTTCTTTGAACTTCTTGCCAGGATTTAAAAAAATATTTCACACATCAGAAATTTTTGTAAATTTCAGTAACATATTTAATGACACTAAGTCAAAAGTTTTTGGCACAAAATTTAAAATTTTAAAATTTCAATTTTAAAAAATAAAAAAAGAATGTATAAAATTTGTGTTGTATTTCTATTAAATGTGATACAAACACAGAATTTAAAAAAACAGAGTGTCCTAGGATTTTATTACTTTACAAATCTATTATAGTTCATCTTGGTGTGAAATTTAAAAATATGCAATTTTTGCACTCCGTTTCTAAAGATATGTGTACTCAATATGGCATGCCCATGTCATAAAAAATTGCACTTATTAAAAGAAATTTTAACTAGTAAAAAAAATTTTATAATTGTCTAATTTTTAACTTATTAGATTTCCAGATAGTTCACCTCCTTGCCTCCCCCTCCTTTTGGATACTCTTGGAATCATTCAAATGCATGATCAAAAAAATTGGCAAAAACTTATTGCAATACAAACCACAGTAGGATGACATTCACATCATTTGTAAATGATTCAAATATAACTTGCAATGCAGCCATAATGTTGTTGAATAGCAAAATAGTTTTGAATTTGCATTTCAATATTGTGTCAAAAAATAAAATCTGATCGAATTTAAACATTTTAATAACATATTAATATGTGGTGATTAAGTTCGAATAAATGTTGTTGCGTATCTGTGATCAGTAAAAAGTTAAAAAAAAGAAGAGCTTGAGATGTTATTAAAGATAACTGAAACTGAACAACCTGTAAACATTTACTTCATCCATTTATGGATCCACTGTTGAAAATAATTTACAGCACCTGAACTGGCAGCTGCTTTTATTCACATCTTTCATAACATATGAGACTTTACTTAAGTTTTAATTCTTTTACTAATCACAGCATTTAATTCTTTTACTATGTACAGTGCACAAAATAAAATAACTTTTGATCTAACGATTTCACGCTTAATGGTTCAAGGGGGTGATCTCAAAAATGCTAATTAATTACTGCAGATGATATTTTAAGTTATAAAATCAGACACAAGAACATACTTTCTCTGAATAAACGTAAATTTTTTTCAACGAATTCAGTTTTTTGACCCTAAAAATGTCGGGAGTTGCCGCAATCTGTCCCAATAGCTGGAGAGTGGTCTAAAGCTTGGACCTCTTAATGTTAATATTACTTTTTGCATTTTCCCCCATATCTCTAGACGGTCGCTAAAAAATTTTGTTCACAATTATAAAATTTGTTTATTCATAAATAATTTCCATGCAAGAAATTACTTTAAGTATTAGATATTTTTTACTATTTAATAGCAGTAGAAAAATATTGAATTGTAAAGTATAAAATTTCTTACATAATTTTAAAGAATGCAATTTTGCATATTAAGTTGCAAAATTTGAGCAAAATTAGTTTAATAGTTCCTGAGAAATTGAATTTTAAATATACGATTTTTTAAAAAAAAATTATTTCTCAGAAACTATTTGTCTGATTTTGCTGAGATTTTGTATTTTGCCATCCAAAATTAAATTGTTAAAAATGATGTAAAAAATTGTATTACAAATTCTAAATTATTGTGACTATTATTAAATAAAATGATAAAAAATTCAAAAAGTTATATTTTGCATATTTGCAACAAAATTTATAATTGTGTGCAAAATTTTTTAATTCACTTAAAAAGTTCTCGAGATATTTTGAAAAACTCAAAAAGTAAAATTTACATTTAAGGGTCCAAGCTTTGTATCTGCATTTCTGATCAAACTATACATCACCACCACAACAACATTAAAATAAAAACTTCATTTTCATAATGATAACTGGAATAGAGTGATGAATCTTTATTATCCATAAATTTTTATTATCTAAAGTAGGTAGAGTCCAAATTATCTAAGACAATTCAGATTTTAATGTATCTCAGTCACTCTATCAGAATTTCATTTTTATTTTAGTTTGATACAGTTTTGGGATTTAAGATTAGGCTTTCCTTACAAAGCTAATGTTTCTCTACCAAAGAAATACTCTCTACTAGATGGGATATGGGAGCCTTTTCATTCTGTAAGTAATTATTTTATAGATAAAACTCTTTTATATTGTATTTTCTGTAGTCAATCATATAGAAATGATTAGGTAGTTTTTAGTTTTACATGAAAAGTTAGTTGACTATTTAATTTTAATATTACTAATCTAATTTAATCAGAGTCAGAACTGGCTAAATTAAATTAGATAATTTGTTAATTCAATAAAAATGAGATAATTTTATAAATTAAAAACTTCTTTTGTGGTATATTACCAATTTTCTTCACTATTTTTTAAAATTAAAAATAAACTTACTTTGATTTATTTATAAGTAAAATGCTTCCACAACATCCAAGTACTAATGCATTAAAATACTTTTAAGAATTTATTTTTCTAAATTCATGATTAATCGTCTAATTCTAAATTTTATTAATGCTATTGAATAAAATGGTTATTTATTACAGGACTAGCTGTTTTAAACAATTTTTTGAAATCTACTTTAAATGTATTAACTTACTAATGATTAAGTCTTATTGCGTTTAGTTTTAATTACATAAGTTAGTGTTAATGTATATTGTTTTTATTCAGACATTTTATTTCTTTATAAATTATGCATCTGAATGTATTGAACCTGATCTTCACTGAGTATCCTATATCTTTTTGTCTTTAAAGTTTGTTATTTAGTCTGTGACATTAAACAATAAATTACTTGGAACAAATATTTTTTTAAATTTATTTCCACCGCGTTTTCTTTTAGAATTATGTTCAATGTAGTTTACAGTTTCATAGAATTTCCTAACTTAAAAGTTTTTAATCTATTTGAAAATCAAAACTGAAACTAACATACTTCCTTCTCTATGACTCTCCACACACTAATGGTGAAAGCATGTAAAGTGTTGCCATAGGTAGAGAGTTGTACTCTATGCCACCTATAACCCATTCCGATTGCCAGTAGCGCACATTTTGAATTTTGGGTGGTATTTTTTTTAAAAAGTAATTTATGAGGAATTGAGGGTCACCAAAAATTTTATCTGTGTGTTAGAGGTTTTTCTCTATTAACAACACAGCAAACAGTTAGGAAACGGTGTAGAAAATTTGTGTTACTGAAGTTCAACTCTATTGTATCTTATGAGGAACAACTCAAGCTCAGACAATTGTTTTATTATATTTAGCTAATTATATGCATAATGTATTTTTTAATTGTTTTAGATGCAAGTAATGTCTCCCGATGGAAAAGAAGAAATATCTTTGACTTGCTTTTCTCTAAGAGAGAATACTGAGAAAGATTGTGAAGGTTTGATACAGCAGTTTTACTCACTTGTACATGGGTGCCATTCTTCATTCCAGGGTTCTGAAATCAGTCTTGAGAAAAAAATCTGCAGACTAAATTTCATCAATTAATCTCTTTTCCATTTGTTCTTTTCATTAAAATGTCCTTTTTTTCCTTAAAATTTTTAATTTTATGGAAACATTTTTTATTTCTATTTCTAGTTAATTTTATACAAATATTATATTTTAATGAAAACCTCGTTATTTTTCACTAAGAATTGCAAAGTGATCTAGTAATGATGTTGCTCTGCGATGAAAGAATGGGATTGATTGAACTTCAGTGCCTGCTTGCTTAAACAAAATTTGTACTATTGTTGTATCTAAATTTGTTTGAGTTTTCATTTACTCCTAATGTTTTAAATTTCTGAACAAAGTTAAGATTATTATTATTTTAAATTTATAGAGATAGGAGGAAAAATCTATAACTTGAAGCAAAAAAAAAAGAAAATAGACATAGGAATAGTATCACAAAAAATTAGTGGTTTATTATCCAGCATGGTGCATAGCTTTTTTAAAAAGTGCTTAAGGGTACTTATTTTTGTTTTTTAAAAAGCCCTTAAAGGTGCTTTTTTCATTGGATGTTTTTTAAAAGTGCTAAATTTTTCCGTTTCGAAAATGATGTTTTCGAAAAGGGAATGTCGATTTATGCCATTTATTGTGTAAAAGCGTACTTTTCGCATTGTTCTATTCAACGTTTTCACAATTCATTCAACCACAATCTATTTCGGCGTACCGTCGGTCCATAGCGTATGAAAGCGCCAATCATTTTACATGTTTGAGGAAATACCCGCGAGTCCGCATGTGTGTCTACTAACCTGGGTTCGGTGAGATTATTGCACTCTCACATGCAACTCTGCTACATTTTGCAAGATATTCTCAATTTCAGGCTTTATTTTCCATCCTCTGATGTTGAACCAAAAAATCTCTTGATCTATAATGGCTAATATAATTAAAAAAAAAGAGTTCTTTGTCAGAAACTAGTTATTTTATCATGATCATGTAAAGGCTTTTAAAATTATTTTGTATTTTGTTGATGTATTTAGTACTTAAAATTTTTTTTTGAGTGTTTAAAAAGTGCTTATTTTTTGCTAAAAGATTTGGCTACGCACCCTGTCGAGTGATTGGTGCATAAAGATCTACAAGTTTAACTATTACTTACCTCTTCTTTGCTGTGAAAAAATAAATTAACAAAATGGAAAAAAATCAAATCCTTGATTTAATATCCGTGCCATTATTATGGAAACATACATTTTGGAGTCAGTAAGCTATAAAATTCTGGTAAACAATGCTAGATCATCATTTTAATTGATCAAACAGTTAAAATAAGTTCAGTTTTGAAATTTTTTTTAGAGTGGCACCCATGCTTATAAGCTAAAATAGTATTTAATCTTCATGTTTTTGCCTCCAGTATTTAATCTTCATGTTTTTTCAGAAAATATTAAAGAAGAAGAAAATTCAGATTTACATGGAAATGAAACAGTAGCACAAGACAACGATATATATGCAGAATTCTATGGAGGCTGTGCAGTAATTTTTTCTGTTTTTTTTTTTTTTTTTTTTTAAAATTTTTTTAAAAATATCTATTTTGATGTTATTCAAAAATATTTTTTTTTTTAAATACGATNTGGGAAATTATCTGGACTTAAATTTTTATAAAATTCTAGTAATGGTACTGTATGAAAAGTTTGTTTCAGGAGAGTATTACAGTTCAGTTCTATTAACTCAAGTTGAAATTTTGCATCAACTTCTTCGTAATTAACATTGAATGGGGTCGCAAAAATACTAAACTCTGGTTCCATTTTTCTAAAGTCCTGAAATCTCCTTTCAAATTCTGAAGATAGTTTTCTCAAATTAATTTCGTATTTTTTAATCTTATTGTTTGATATAGTGAATTTTAAAGATTGTATTCTTGGAAAATGAGAAAAATCAGATTTAGAGATCTGATTAGCAAATAATAATAACTGTAATTGCAGACTATTAGTTATTGTAATTGTCTCATAATCCAATTAATTTGTAATTAATTGGATAATTAATTAATTTGCTAGTTGATAAATTAATCAAAAAATTAATTAATCATTAATAAATTATTAATTAATTATTAATTAATTGTTGATTAATTAATTGATTTGCAATTACATACTCCAATTCATTTGGAAAGTTTTTTGGAAAAAAAATTTAAAAAATTTGATGTCAATTTTTTTTTTAAAATTAACCTAACAGGTTTTTCTGAAAAACTACAGATATATAAAATTTTCGAAATCAATTTTGACAATAAATATGCATTATATAGTACGTGAAAGTACCACAAAATTAATTGGAGTATGAGACAATTACAATAACTAATAGTCTGCATTAAAGTAATAAAATACCGATTTTTCTATATATTGAATTATTTTTTATCTCTCACAAAACCTTCTATGGGCCGAAACGAATGTTTCCCCCTAAAATTATTTCTCATAAGGCATACATCCCACTAGTTTATTTCAAAATTGACGAGTCACACTTCCCTAGTTTCTCTTGTCAGTATCCCATATCTTTTTGTCTTTAAAGTTTGTTATTTAGCCTGTGACATTAAACAGTAAATTACTTGGCAAATTACAAATATTTCTAAAAATTTCCACGACGTTTTCTTTTAGAAATATGTTCAATGTAGTAATCAATTGCATATAATTTCCTAACTTAAAAGATTTTAATCTATTTGAAAATCAAAACAGAAACTAACGTCCTTCCTTCTCTATGACTCTCCACACACTAATGGTGAAAGCATGCGAAGTGCTGCCATAGGTAGAGAGTTATGCTCCATGACACCTGTAGCCCATTTCAATTGCCATTAGCAAACATTTCAAATTTTTGATGGCATTTTTTTTTAAAAAATTATTTTATGAGAAATTGAGGGTCACCAAAAAAATTTATATGTGTATAAGAGGTTTTTCTCTATTAACTACACATCAAACACTTAGGAAATTTGTGTTACTGAAGTTCAACTTTATTGTATTTTATAAGAACCAACTTGTGTCTTCTCAAACTGAGACAATCGTTTTATTATATTTAGCTAATTATATGCATAATGTATTTTTAAATTGCTTTTAGATGCAACTAATGTCTCCCGATGGAAAAGAAGAAAAATCTTTGACTTGCTTTTCTCTAAGAGAGAATACTGAGAAAGATTTTGAAGGTTTGCTACAGCAGTTTTACTCACTTATACATGGGTGCCACTCTTCATTCCTGGGTACTGAAATCAGCTTGTAGACTAAATTTCATCCATTAATCTCTTTTCCATGTGTTCTTTTCATTAAAATGTCCTTTTTTTCCCTTAAAAATGTTAATTTTATGCAAGCATTATTTATTTATTTTTCTATTTAATTCTATAAAAATATAATATTTTAATGAAAACATAGTTATTTTTCATAATAATTGCGAAGTGATCTCGTAATGATGTTGCTCTGCAATGAAGGAATGGGATTGATTGAACTTCAGTGCCTGCTTGCTTGAACAAAATTTGTACTATTATTGTATCTAAATTTGTTTAAGTTTTGATTCACCCCTAATGTTTTGAATTTCTGAACAAAGTCAAGTTTATTCTTTTTTTTAAAAAAAATTTATGGAAATAGGAGGAGATATAAGTAATGATGAAGTAAAAAAAAAAAAAAAAAAAGANNAAAAAAAAAAAAAAAAAAAGGCATATGAATAGTATCACAAAAAATTTGTGATTTATTATCTAGTAATTGGGGCAAAAAGATCTTACAATGTTACCTATAACTTATATCTTGTTTGCTGTGAAAAAAAGTAACTAAATGAAAAAAAAAAACAAATTGATTTAATATCTGTGCTATTATTATGGAAGGATACATTTTGGAGTCAGTAAGCTATAAATTTCTGAAAATTCTGTTAAACGACGCTAGATCGTGTTAATTGGTCAAAAAATAAGTTCAGCCTTGAAATATTTTTAAAGTGGCACCCATGCTTCTAAGCTAAAATATTCCAGTATTTAATCTTCATGTTTTTCCAGAAAATATACAAGAAGAAGAAAATTCAGATTTACTTGGACATGAAACAGTGGCACAAAACAATGATATATATGCAGATTTCTACGGAGGCTGTGCAGTAATTTTTTCTGTTTTTTAAAAAATTTCATTTAATGCAAATTGTTTCTATACTAACTACTTTATGTTTATATAATTTTATTTTATTAGTGGGCTCTTAATTAAAATTGTATATTGTCTAAGGTTGTCTATAAATTACATTATGCATAGGTTTTTTATTTAATGTTAATTGAAATTTTTAAGAAAACTTGAAAAATAAATATACCTTTTAAAAAAATTAGATTTAAATTATTTTTTCTCGTGAGAACTGCTTTTGTTTCCATCTTTATTACCTTTAATTTTTCATTGTACTTGAAACTTGTGACTTTTGAATTTTACAAAAATAACTCTACATGTTGGACAGTATAAATAAATATTCTTCTTTTATGAAAGGTATATTTATTTGTTTTATTATCATTACATTTTAATCATTTTGTATCCTATATCAAGTTACATTGGAGTAGTATCATTTTGTAGCATATTAGAGAATTTAGTTGTTGATATTGTATTTAACTAATTTCATGATTTTTCAATTAGAGAAATATTTTTTACTCTTGTGTATAACATATCTTTCCATAGGATGGAGCTATATTATCGGGTACTTTTAAACTTTTCAAAGATGAAGCAGGAAAATATGTGGGTAATGTTTCCAGTTATTCAATATCATTTAAACATTAAACAATAAACCATTGCCAAATTATGCTGTTATTAGTGCTATTTTGATATTTCTTATAGAACTACTTTGCATTTAGACGAACAATCTTCTTTCTCTAATTAATCAAAGAGAAAAGTATTAAAGAGTTCATACAGTCAAACGACTAACATTTGATAATAATATTCTTATCAGAATCATGATAACCTTTTAAAACTACCAATTCATTAAAAATTCTTAATCCAATTTATAAAAAATTTGATTTACTTATGTAAAGTATAATAATTGTTACATATTTTGTGTATTATCATAATAATAAAATCATTAATATTGTCAGTTGTTATACAAATTGTTATTTTTATTATAATCTTTTTAAATATCACTAATTTAGCGTAACAGTGCTAAATATATTTTTTTCGTGAATTTTAATGTTTCATTAAACTTATCTTTTATAGCTAAGGTTCCAGAATACTATCAGTCTCCTCATTGTAATTCAGTCTCAGTAATTAAAAGCTCTCCTTTCATAAAAGATATTTTCTTAAGTGCTGGAGGCAAAACAGTTGCTCTTTGGAAGCATGGAATTAAAGTAAGTTGTAATTTAAGACACTTTTTAATGATTATTTGTCTAAAATTTCGATTTTAAAACTAAATACCGTATTGTTAATCTTTAACAGATCTAAAAAACTGGCGTTTTATTAAATCGAAATATTTTCCAGAAACTGAGATAATATAAAAGGAGCATAATGCTGTCAATTAATTAAAATGGTGTGATTGTATGCCAGGAACAATGTGGAACAGCAAATTTGCATTTTCGAAACTGGTTAGTTAGAGGAGACAGCTTTAAACTTTAGGAGCAGTAATTTTAAAATACTTGGAATTATAACAATCAATTTTCCAATTTTGGAAACCAAATATATGTTTATTATTATCTTAAACAAATCTTACAGTTTTAAAGAAAATTTTTTGATAAGAAGTATATTTAGCAGAACCTTGTGAAAAATGTTTATTCCGTATCAATTAAAAATACGTTTGGGATGTTTTGGACTGTAATATGTTTAAAAGTGATTTTGGGCTGACTTTAAAGTAAATAAGATGCTATTATATTTAGCTATTTATTAGCATTTTAGCTATTTATGTAATAAGTGCTGAAGCAAAAATTTCAACTAGTACAAATATTGTAATTATGAATTCGCTTTTAATGTTATAAATTATACAATAATTATTATAAATTTTAATGATTATCTAACCCTAACATTATTATCAATACTTTTATGAATGATCATATTTTTTCATTAAGACTGTATTATTTTAGACTAAACCAATTTTTATGTGTGAGAGACTAAGTAATGCTACTTCAGGAGAGTGGTCCCCTACAAAGCCAGCTCTTCTTTTTATAGGATTTGAAAATGGGTCCATTGAAATGTGGGATTTGTCACAGAATATTTATGAACCCATTGCTATTCATTTCATCTCAACATCCAGCATCAATTGTTTGGCAATTCAACAAATGACAGGTAAGTTTTTGAAGGAATCTGATAAGCTACTCATTTTAGGAGTGTTAATTTAGGAATTTAATGTCTGCAAAATATTACCATTGGGAGTGTTTCATCATTGGTTTGAAAGAGTCAGCACCATTGCTTTTATTCTTTATTAATGGTCAATTTTATAACCTTCGTTGAACAGTTGACCCAATTTTGGATTTACAATGACTAGTGTTCGACTCTGTAGCCTTGCAGTTTTGAATTGAATCCAGTATATAAGGAACTCCTGGATCAAGTATTGGAAGAAATTTGCCTTCCTTTTCGATGTAATTAATCCACACTAGCCTTACATGGAGAGGAAAACCTCCCACGGTTAGTCTGACGGCAAGGGGACTCCAACCCATGATCCTCTACCACTGAGGAGTGCAAGTCGGATGCGGAATTTGTACCTATCAGCGATGACTAGGATTCCAACCCGGTTCACCTCAATGGGAGACGAACGCTTTATCCACTGAGCCTTCATGGCTCTTTTTATTAATGGTGAAAATAAAAAGTGCTTGTTACTGTGCAGAGTGCAGAAATCGATTGCTCTACACATTATCTTAGTGCCGAAAATTGATTCCTTTTTAAAATTATTTAGGAAATATGCAAATTACTTTAATAAACTGCACATTACGTACACATTAAGGGGTCTTAACAAACTATTTTAAATTTTTTTCTTAAATAATGTGTTATGACCTGTTTTATTCTGAGCAATTCAACAATACTAAAAAACTTCCAAAGAAACAGCAAAAATTCTAAAACCCACTCATTGAAAACAGAAACTAACACACCCAATTTCTGAACTGAAATTGTCTGTAAATTAAAGTAGTTTGTTTAAATCTATTTATTCAAAGTTGTGTTTTAAATCCGTTTTTCTCATATTAAATTTTATGATCTCGCATGAAAGGTTATTGGACTTCTAATAAACCTAAAGTTAAAACATGGTAATTGATCTGAGTATAGCATGTTGCTTAAATAGTAATAAATAGTAGAACAAAACTGATGCATAAATAGGATATTTTTTCCCCTTCATAAAGAATGTTTGAATTTTGTACGATCTTTAAGAATTCAGAAAATTTCAACAAAATCCTAAAAGAGATACATGGATAAGATACTAAACAAATCTATGGCAATACTAATTGGCTATTAGTGACATTTTAAGACTCATTCTACTCATAGTACTTGAAAGACAATGCTTGCTAATGTACACTCGATACTAACCAAAATTTAGATAATGGCAGTATCTCTGTACAGTGCACCCAAATCGCTTTATCTTTAAGTAATTCATGTTTATTTCATGCTGGAAAATTATTAAAATAAAAATAGTTTAAATTTATGACTCTATGTATTTTAAGTTTTACCAATTCTTTTAGGAATGGAATATCTAGTTGCTGCTGGAGATTCAGTGGGAGTCGTACATACCATGAGTTTACCACCTAGTTTTTGGCAACCTCTAGAAAATGAAGTAAACAAATATTTTTTTAAATGTTATTTAACATAATTTTACATTTATACATGCATATTAATGGTATTTACCCTTTTTTTTTTATCAATAATAATCTTGGACATTCTTTTATATATGGTTGAAGAAAGCCTTAATTTAGAATTTCTTCTTTAACTTCAACAACTATAGAAGCTGTGATTTTGTTGTTGTGAATTGTATTCATATAAAAAGCAGATCAATCAATGTCTTTGGAAACAGTTTCTGTTTGGAGCTCTTATATCCACGTCCCTACAAAACAACATTTGTCGAAGTTGGGATGAAAACTTTATAAACTGTTAATACTTTATGGATGGATGGAGTGCTGCAAGTTCTTGATTGCCTATACTTCTGGGTTACTTGTAGTATTTCTTCTATATGTGTATTTGCTACCTAATTTATTATTTGTGTTTAAAAGAAGAATCATCATTTGAAGACCTGTCATTTCAAGTCATTTGAAAAAAGAGTTGCTATAAAACACTTCTTACCTTGTTAACACATACCAACTTCGAAATTTAAACCTAAATGATAATTTGTAAAATGAATCTCACTGTTGGAATAATATGCTTACACTAACGTATGAAGGTGCACAGCTTGCAACGTGAACAAACAGTAATAAACAAGTAAAAGGTGGCCAAATCAGAACTGCCAAAAAAGTGAGTTCTTTCTAAATCTAGCAACCATGTCACCTTTTTTAACAAGATATCATCTATAAATAAGTAAAACAAATTTTCACTTAAAACTTCCCAGAATTACTTAATATTATTAGAGAAGCAGGGGTGCCATCCCCTCTACAGAGGATCAAAATTGTGATGGCATGTCTTCGAATCATCCTCAGGGATGTTTCTCAGATCATCACCAATACCCCATCGTACAGCTCTTGTGCGGCGTAAATAAACAACTACAACTTTAATAGCTACATATTTGTCCTCAATGTAAAAATGCTAAATAGCAAACATAATTCTGTTATTTAATAAAAAATAAAATTTTTCTTTATGTCAAACAATTTATATGCTGTAATATCATAAAGTTCAAAACCATAAATTTCACAAATACATTTATGCTTTAAATATTTAATGCTTCAATATTCCTATAAAAATTTGTATTTTACAAAATCATTCTTTGCAATTTTAATATATATTGATTTTTTTTTATCTGGTATGATATAACTTATGATTCAAAAATGATTTTTCTTCTTTCTAAAAACTAGCTTTTAAATGTTAAAGACTTCATTGAAAAAGAAACGACCAGAATAAATGAAATGGAAACTGTTGCCCTGGATGGCAAAGTTTCCAGGGAAAATAAAAAAGAGCTAGAGGTAAACAATTTTAAAATTATTTTATACAAACTAAAAAAAGTCTTGATTTTTTAAAGCTCTCTGTTAAAAATTAAAACAAACTAAATGAATATTCAGTAAGCAAATATTTAAATTAATTCTTATCAAATTTAAGAATAGTATTTCTGTTATCTTCATGTGTAATTTTAGCTATAAACTGTGTGCCAAGTAATGAAATCCTTCCATTAAATAAAATTTTTAAAAAAAGTGATAGATTTGTATACAAATATATCTTGCTTTATAAAATTAAAATTCATATTTTCCGTGAACAATGGTGTGCTAAGTATTGTAAAACATTTTTATAAAAATTTTGAGATTTGAAGAAATATTCACCTTTCTGTTTCACATATTTTGTGTGGCCCTAAACACTATTTTGTAAGGGTGCTTAGCTCTGCAAGTTGAAAATACACGCTGTCATGTTTTATAAAGTTTAGGAAAATTCAATTTTTACTTTTTTCACGTTTTTCTATAAGGTATGAATTTCATTTCAAATGTTTAGCATCAAAAGATGTTTTCTAGTATTGGTGAATTACAGAAATTGCAAGGACTAAGATTTAAAAATAAGGTGCTTCAAATATATTTTTTCGACCTTCAAACCTTAAAAAAAAAAAAAAAATGTTTTTTTGGTTCTAAGGGTATAATTATTGACTTTAATTCATTAAAGAAACATAACGTTAATAAAAAGTTATTTCATACTCATAAAATATATATAGTAAGAAGTTTTTTTCAATTTAAAAACACAAACAAAGTCAATACTTAGAATTAAAGTTGCTATTCAAAATATTACTTATTCTATAAATTCTTAACATATAAACTTGTGTTTATCAGCCTCCAACCCATAAAAAAGAATTTCTTGTTGTACACTTTAGAAGTATGCTCTGATAATTTGTATCCTATTTAATGAAAAGTTATGAGGTTATGGAAAATAACAATTTAGAGACCATCTGCACAAATTATTCTGTTTTGCACAAAAATACAATATAATTCATATTCTATGATAGAAAATTGATTTTACAAAAAATAACACACACAGATACATATATATATAACATAAAAAGCTTCAACTAATCTTCTTTTTATGTTATTCCTTTATCTAAATATTTTTCTTAATTTATTATTTTAAACTAAACCCTCTTTCTCACACTTTAATATTCACATCCTGTCTTTTAATCTATTTTTGGCTTCAAGTTATGCATTAATTAACAATTTGTGATATTTCCCTTTATTTAAACCGTGACAAAGAATTTTCCCTCGACCCATTTAATTGACCAATTATAATTATTAAGATTTCTCTTATCTCTAAAACGAAACATTTTGCGGATTCATTTTGCAATATTTTCCCTAACTTTTATTGAGCAGCACTTCGATTTTATGTCACTTGGATATTCATTCTCTGATTATGATGGTTAAATAAAATTAATTTGATTTTTTAAAATCCTGAGCCTGTTTGTCCTACTCACACGACCAACTGCCACTCTTATACATATATATTTCCTTGGTGTAAATAACTTGTTTGTTATACCTCTCTTTTTAATTTACAAAATGTATGAATAAATCTTGTATATTTTATTATTAGCTTCCTGAAAAGGGTAAAATTGAAATAGAAGATGAAATGAAAAATGCATACAAAAATTTTCTGATATTACAAGATCAGCAGCTATTTAATGTGGCACAGAAAGAATCTGAAGAAGAAACAAGTGATTAGTTGAAAATAAATGATATATTCATTAAAATATTGTAAAATTTGTCATAAAGTACTTTGAATATTTTGTTTGTAATTAGCATATTGTAAATATCCTGACAATTTTATCCAGATTAAAGTCATCTTGAAAGAATTGCACTAAAATAAGTCAATTATGTTGGCTTTTTAAATCTTAATTCTACTTTATTACACCTTAAGATGCTTTTAAAATGTAAAGAGTACCTCACTTTTAGAAAAATAAATATGATTTTTTAAATTTATTCAGTCAAATTCAATTTTTATTTAGCAAGAAACTACAATGCACAAAAATTTTTAATGCAAGTAAATGATAATGAAAGATAATAATTTTATAATAAACTTATTTAAAAATCTTTGAAATGTATTTCAATTGAATAAGCTATCAAATTTGGAAGAAAGAATTTTAAATTCAATTATTTTTTTATAAAAATAATTTGAATTTAAAGTTCTTTTTAATTTCACTAGATAGTTCTCAAGGAATAACTTTAAAAATATTTCAACTAACCTAATATTAAATTTGTAAGTATGAGAATATTATAATGTTCTGTCGATCGGCGATTTTAAAAGCATTGATAGACTGCCGTTACTTATCAAAATTCAGGTCATTATTTTTTTTTTTTTAGTGATCGTTGTTTATTCCTCTTTCCATACCGTAGCAGTCGCAATGTATGTCATAAGCATATATTTATTTTTCATATTCCTTCTTTGGCTGTTGGCATCAATGTTATATAAATTAAATCACAGGATTTTGCTCTCTTCTGTTTAGCTATTATGCCCACTTGTTTGATGGATTTGAAGCCATGAGTTTTGGTTAGATCTGAAAATGTAAGTGTCACGTCGAATTTTGACTGTCAACTGCTTACATACTCTAAGAATGGCATGGATCGCAAGATAGTGTTTATGGCAAAATCTAATCGTTCCTGAAACTGTCACGATAGTTATTGAGTAACAACACTGTGGTATAAACTTTCTACTGGCGACATTGTGGATAGCGTATTTGTGGTTTATTTTTGTGTTTATAACAAACACTCTTTCACTGAAAAAGATTCTTGTCCTCATAAAAAAATTTTATCTTCTCTGATAAAAATTACCTTACTAAAAGTTACTTAACCTTTTAATAATTTCGTTTTTGTGTTGAGTCATAGATATATTAGATTGGTGAACTAGTTTTTTCTTAGCAACTTCTGCAACCTTTTAGGTAACGCTTTGAGCTACTGCCTGAGAAATCCACCACACACTCACATAATTAAGAAGAAGAAAAATGTTAAGTCAATAAATGCATTAGCGAATCATTAGTTGAACAGTTTTTTATTTGAAAGGTATGCAACAATGCAAATTTTTACTGTACCAAATAAATAATATATTTTAATTTGCTTTCGGTCATTTGAATAAAATCAGATAAGTAGTTTTATTAATATTGTAGAGCCACCCCCCCCCCCTTATGTTTGAAGAAGAAAATTAAGTTTTTAATTCTACATGTTTCCAAGCATTTTCAATATATTTTCTGTCAAAAAGAATTTTTTTTATTTTAGTACTATTGCTTTTTTTCATATAACTTTTTGCCCCTCTATCACTTCTGTGTGACAAAAACAATGAATTAAACTGCTATCAAAGACCAGAAAAGGACAATTATTCCATTACAGTAGATTTATATAATGCAGTTCTGTAAACTGCAATTGTCCATAAACATTAAATTCATGGGTATAAACAATGAAAACTGCAGTTAAGAAATTCACACAACCAAGCAAGAACTATTAACTTTTTAAATTATTTAGTTATTTGTTAAGACAATACATTTTCAAAAGCTAAGCAAACCGAAAATTTATAGATGAGTTATTAGTTCAAATGTTCTAGAAAATTTTAATTACCCCCTGTAAATAATTAATACTTAAATGCATATTTTTGTGTTTTTAGGTATTCATATTTAAAGCATTTTATGATTGATCTGTTTTAAACTAATTTTGCAGCCATGTTAGAACGTAAGCTTAAAGATATGTGAAATGATCTATATAACACAATATTCTACAAATGCAAATACTCTCTTTTCAATTTTTGTGTTGTAAAGGTTGTCTACTGTATTCATATCTATTGATCAAACGCAAACATTTTTTGTAATGAATAATATTTTTTATGTATTTCAATTAAGTTGATAAATTTCCTTTTTTTTTTGCCCACTATATTTTGAGTTTTAAAAGCAGCGATTATAAATAGAAAAATTATCAAAAAACAAAGGCAAATTTCACTTATTAGCTAGAAAAAAAATTTCCGAAAATCTAGTGTCATTTGTCTTAAACAAATGTATTGTAAATTTAGAACCCATAAAAAAGTCACATTTTAATATGATAAAGAATACTTATGAAGTGGATAAAGAATACTTATATTAAGAATATTAATCACAAGTTTTATGAGTATTCAATCAATACCTATCGAACAGGCATTGTTAGTAATTAGAGTTCTTTTACTTAGTTTTAGTTAGTAATTGTTATCAAGGATCAGTTGGAAAAAAAAGTATGTTTTGTGTTGATTGTGATTTTGTGATCCAAAATACCATCTACCCTAATTAGGCCTTTAAATCATCAAGATTGCATCTGAATATGTGAATACCACTAAGATCAAAAATTATTAAGGTGCTCCATTTTTTATTATGCCCACTATATAAAAATAATTCAGAAAATGAGCTGGGAAACTAAGATTTCTTCAACTAAGTTAGAAAAAAAGCCCAACATTTTGATATTTAATTTATTGTCAAATCATTTTTCCTTTTCTATTTCTTAGTCAATTATATAAGTAAAAATAAATACAATATTTTGTGGTTCATATTCAGTCATTAAAAACAGAACAATACACCATAGTATTTTTACTCCTTAATTTAATTCGAGCCAAGCTTTAGTAGTTACTAAATTATTTGCTATTTAATGACTAAAATATTTTATTACTATTAAAGAAATTTGTTTTGTATATATGCACTTATAAATCAATCACATGCTTTGAAATTAAACTTTGAAAAAACTCAGAAAGTGGAATTTATTGGTTTGGAAAATGAAACCAACAGACAATATAAATAGTGATTAGTCTAAGAGCTACAAAAAAAGTATAAAATTTAAAGTTTGCAAAAAATGTAATTTACTTTATTTTTCTCAAAAAACAGCTAATAATTACTAACAAGAAACAAAAAGAATATAAATAAATAAAAAGATTTATTAAATTAAAATACATCGAGGTGCATAAAGCTAATTCATTGAATCAAAATAATCTACACATAAAAATCACCGGTATTTCCTGTATAAACATTAACTAGCATACAATCAATATGTTTTGATCAATTTTATACTGTACATAAAGAAAATCGGTGAAGATAAAAAAACAGACACATAATATAGAGGACAAATAAAATTTTAAAAAAAAGAAACCTTTAACTTAAAATATTTTTTGGTGGTGAAAAACGTTTCTTGTAAACATTTTTATGCTTTTGTTTCAGATTTTAATGCTAAATTTTCCATTTATTAAAAATTCAACCTCGTAAATCATAAATAAATAAAAATATTTTAGAGCTTCAGCTTATGTAATAGTACATTAGCTTAAGCAGTGAAAACAAATTTTCTTTTCAAAGCAATGGTGGAATTTTTTGAAAATTATAAATAATAACAGAAAAAAAACATTAATTTTTTCTGAGCTAACTAAAATACAATTTTACTGTGCAAAACTATACCTATATGTGATGAAAGTGTACATAATATTTTATACATTAAAAGTATTTATAAAAAATGACATAGAAAAAAAAACAAATACAAAAATGTGATGATCATAAAGCATAATTTGATACATCATTTATGATAGATATATTTGTGATAAATTTGTAAAAGTTTGTTTTTCTAACAATATTACATAACATTTTAATTCCAAAATATAATTGCACAGTTATAACTTTGAATATTAAAAGTCATTTTTAAACTACAGAACAACAATCACAGTTTTGCTTTTATTGATTGAACGGCAGGTTTATCCAAGAATTCACGCCACCATGCAGGTCTGTCTAAGGCACCAGGAGTATTTAAGATGCATTCATAAAGATTTTTGTAAATCTGCAAATTATTTGTTTTTATTAGTTTTAAATATTATCGAATGTGTACCATACACAAAATAAAAACGATGTAACCATAAAAAACTTTTGTTCTAATGATCAAATTTTTATAAACTAACTGCTAATCCGTATGGTGTTAAAATTGTTTAAAGAGTGACCCCATCTCGCACCAGTCACAATGCTGATGCAAAATATCTTAAGTGGTAGACAAATCATGGGTTAGAATCCCCTTGCTGTTTAGCTAACAGTGGGAAGTTTTAGTGTTTTCCCTCTCCATGTAATGCCAAATGTAGGTTAGTTTTATCAAAAAGTCTAATGATTGGAGTTCCCTTGTCCTCCGGGTAAGGTTTACATTTACAAGGCTGCGAAGTTAAGCATTGATAGTCATAAACTCAAAATAGGTTCGGCTATTCAACACCGCTTATAAAGAAAAGGTATGCTTATTCAAAGAAAGTACGTTTTTATATTTTCTCAACTTCATTTATAATTAGCTCTAGTTAATTAACATATTTGAGGTCACTCTTTTAAATCGTTAGGATAATCTGTTAGTTTATAAAAATCAAATCATTAAAATTGAAGTCATTTAAGGTGAAAGCCACTCAAGTTACCATACCTGACCGTCCGATTTTCCGAGAGCCGAATTCAAAACAAAATCTGGAGGTGAAATTGCATCAGCCAAGGAAACTGCTTGTTCTTTCAATTCTTCACATAGTTTTAATATGCAACGTTTTATTGATTTGCTTGCTAATGCCCCAACACAAAATCCACCTGTAATATCATGAAAAAGCTAGAAAATTAATATTCAGCATATTTTTTAAATATAGTTTTTGCTTAACCATATTTAGAAGAAAAACATTTAAGTCAAAATTGAAACTATATATCAATGTCATAAAAATTATCATTATATTTAAAACTATTATTATATTTTAACTGTATTTATTCAAGAAAAGATACTTCTGTTGTGAGGTGGCTTAGAGCTAATTTAAGATTACCATGAAATGACGGAAGCACCAATTTTGGTATGATGGTACTTTAAGGTATTTTAATTAGCCTAGGACCCCTCAGAAATCCCTAAACCTGAGAAGGGATAGGAAGGAATTATTTTTATTATTTTTTAATGCTAAATCGAATGAGAACAATTCTTAGGTGACAAAAAATATTGTAGAATTAATTAATGTTTTATGTCCAAAAAGTACAATTTTGAACTCGTGCGACATTGCAATCTGAACATGTGATGAATTGTTTTCTGTGAATTTGTTTACACTTAATTAAATGAGATCAATCTCGAGTTAATGGGACAAATAATTAATAAACACAAATTTAGTGTTTTTACTCAACATAAGAAACTATAAGTTTTATGCATAAACATAGGTAAAAATCTACACTGTTTGTAAACAATACTGTCGTATTGACTTAAGTAGGATATCATTTGAATCAGCCTAGATAAAAAAAGAGGAAACAATATATCTTTTGCATAAATAGCAATGTCAGATGCCAAAATGTGTATTAGCCAAAAGTTTTAACTTTTTACAAACAAAATCCTTATAAGTTCTAAATTATCAGTCCTATTAAATTGACCTTTTAAGTATTTAATGAGGCTAAAAAGATGAAAATATGTATTGATATGTTTTAAGCTGAGCAATTAATTTTTTTCAAATATAAAAAATTATTCTTTCGTATTAAAATATTTTCCTTCGACGAATAAAATTTAAATGTCTTATTTGAAAACTTTTACCTTCATATAAGAATGTTATGTGCTTCTCCAAGCTCCATAAGCCATACAAGAAAAAGAGCTGTCGAAGAACTTCTTGAATGTTTTTATTAGCTTGTTCAGAAATAAAATCATCAAATCTTTGCAGAAAAGCATGCTAAAACAAAGAATATTAACATCATAGTATCACAATCAAATAGATAATTGGAATGTGCAATTATTGCCTCTAATATTAATTGAATGAAATTTTCTTTACTAATTTATTTGTTGACAAAAATTTTAAAAAAAAAAGAATGAATAAATTGAATTGAAGTCTCCAAATATCAGTGATTTTATATTCTAAAATGTTATTAATATATTATTTTATTATAAAATATTATTTCATTGTAAAAGTGGTTTAACTCCATAGTTTTAAATATGTATTTTCCATAATTGTATCACATTTAGTCATATCTTTTAATATGAAAGTAAAGTATTTTTAATAATTACATTAATCAGCAATAATACAATAATTCTATTAAAAACCGACAAAAGTTGAATACTTGTATTTGTTTTCCTACATCAAATTTTTAAAAAGTTTATTATTTCAAAATTCATTTACAAGGAGATACTTTACTTTTACAGTGAAAGAAGAATTACTCATTTAAAAAAAAAAAACTTTAATTCATGCAATTGTTTATAAAGAATTAATAATAATAACTAATTTTTTACCTCTACATATGCCAGTGACAGAGATCTGCAAAAATAAACTTGAGTGTTGCAACGTGCTATAAATGGATCTGTGTTATTCTTCAATTCATTGTTGAGTTTTTCACTCGTTTGTTTCAGTAAGTAGCACACCAACCATTTGTATGTGTTAAGAATTACTAAAAATAAAATATTTGTTTTAGGTTTTGAGAATTAATTTTTATTGTTTTACATCTAAACATTGCCTAAAAGTTGACAAACTAAATTTTATCTAATAGTAGTTCACCTAAACGGTACATTAAAAAAAGATAATAATAAGTTACATCTAAAAATATAAAATATATACTTCAAATAAAATAATTTATTTAACTGTAACCATTTACAGAATAACTATAATTAAACTCATCTAGTTTAGAGTCTCGGTTATTACAAAATTACTATACGCAATTCACTTAAACTCTAGAAGCTATATTTAATGTCAAAGAAAACTGTTTTTAAGGTAGGTAGGTACTTTATTTATGTCACACTAAAGTTGCACAATGGGCTATTGGCAACTGTCTGGGAAACATCCCTGAGGATGGTCCGCAGATATGCCATCACGATTTTGATCCTCTACAAAAGGGATGGCTCCCCTGATTTGGTAGCCCGACGACCTGCACGACACCATGCACCCTCAGTCCCTACACAAGCTGATCAATGTGGTCACCCACCTCCTCACTGATTGCAGCCAGTGATGCTTGACTTTTGTGTTATACTGGGAACCGTATCTTTATGATCAGTCCACTGCAGGAAAAATTGTTTTTTAAAAACTCAACTCGTAAAAAATATATTTTTTGAAAATAAAAAACATTAGAGAATATTTTTTTATCACTATTATTGCAAAAAGAAAGTTTAAATGATGAATTTATCATAAGTAATGAATGGATGGATGGTTAGAAGCAATGCCTTCCGAGTATTTAGCGTTGGATATAACAGCAAAATTAAATTGCACAGCCACAATAGTTTTCTAAATTTCACACATAGGAGCAACAAGTTTTAAATGTGCTAAATACCCGGAAGGAGATGAATTATTTTAATTTCACTCGTTAATAATTCACAAAATTGTTTTCATTTGTCTGAAACATTGAGGTGGACTTTTAGAGATTCCTAATTATTGAGGGGAGCATATACGTACCATCCCGCTTTCATTGGCTTATAATCTTCGAAATTTGGATTATCACACAACAAGGAAACTTACAAGACCAGAAGGAAATTAATGAATAAAACTAAAATTTTAAAGAGGGAAACCAACTACATTAAACCCATCTTCAAAGATAGACGTTTTCCTTGCAAAAAATCGACAATATTGCTAAAAAGATATCAAACTTTTCTAAATCCTAAATATGAATACGACAAATCTGAAACAAGTAATTTGGTTGTGCTACCTTTTTTTATCTCAAGAATTAGCTTTCAATCATCAAATATTATTTCAAAATGCAAATGCCAGGTTACCTTTTCTCAGAACAGCAAAGTTACATTCTCGAACCTCTAACAATTTTTATTAATTGTTTCAAAACTGGAGAACTTACAAAATTTCATGTCAATGTGAACTGTTGTACTTAGAGCAAACTAAACGAGCGCACTAATGGCATCAATTCTATGTTAACAGTAAAAAAAACTCCACCATTAATCTATTGCAATACATTGCTAGACAGCTGAATTGCTGTTTTTAATGAAATTTAATATTATCACCAAGAATTACTCTCGTAATTTTTAATTATCTTTGTATTTCATTAAAATTCTCCCCATAAAAAAATTAAAATTTTTAAATTGGGTTTGGAAACATTTAACTTTGTCGAAAAAATTAAAATTTATTTTAAAAAATTGGCCAAAGTTAAATGTTAGCTCTACATTGAAACTATTTGCCTTCTACAACTAAACAAATGCTAGCTTAAATTAAATATGGATGCAAGAAAATCTCGTGTTTAATTTCAATTTTATTTTTTTATATAAAAAACTAAAATTAAAAAAATAATAACAAATAAATAAATCAGTTAAGTAAATTTTAAACTAATAAAATAAAAATTTCCCCCCTGGACTGCTAGATCTTAAAATGTTATAAACCTTTTTGTAAGTCTTAGCAAAAAATATAGTGTCATTACTAAGAACTTACTTAAAAAATAAAATTAGTTTGACAATCGTAGTATCTTTGAAGTTTATAAATTTATTCCATATTTTCTATTTGATTTCCCCTTCCTTAAACAGCTAACTTCTTACTTTCTTTCTATTTTTACCCCTTAGAAGGAAAAAAAACATAAGTCGTGCTGTTTTGTTTGCCTAAAAACTGCAATTTTACGTGAATAGTTTACATTATATAATTACAATTAACCATACTATAAGGAAACTTGTCAACAATCGCATTTTTATTAAAAAAGAAACATTATCATAAAAACTGTATGAGCCTATTTAAATTATACAAACATTTTCAGAATTGTGTCTGCAGTTATATCTGACTACATATTATACAGCTTTTAGTGAGTATTGTGATTGAGATATCAATTCAGCAAGGTTATAAAAAGACAAAATATAGGTATGTTTTTTTTTGTTTTTGGTTTAAGTGCTTTTATTTTCTCCATGCTAACTTTTGTTTCAATATCCTTACCTATAAAACCTGCTTAGATTTTATCTCAAACTAACACTTTCCTATAGTCATTGTTTAAAATCTTTACTGACCTTAATAATTTTCAGATTTAGTAGCTAGGATTTATTTAGGAATAATTTCCTTGTTGGACTGCTATAAATTTGATACATCAATTGATAAAGGGTTTTGTGACAAAAGGATTTCAAGAAAAAGAATAACAAAATAGGGATGATAACCATGATAATAATGATCACATAAAAAATTAATCTTCAGAATATTTGCTCTGTGTATCACAGTTCTTTTGAAGAACCAAAAAATAAAAATAGCATAAGTTATGCAAAAAGTTTTTTTTATTTTATTATTTTTATGAAGAAGGTAAAAAAAAGTTAAAATTTCTTCAACTATTACCATTTTATTTATCCCTGTGAGTCCCGGTTTTATCTGAACTTTAAGTTGCAGTCTTCCTTGTATCAAATAAATAAATAAAATAAATTTCCCAAAAGTATTCAATAAGAAAGAAGTGCATAGCAAGGAAAGTTCATTATGATTTTGCCAAGGGGTTTATCACTTGAAGAGTTAAAGGATCTGTGTATAGTATAGTACAACAAGTAGAAATATTACAGTTATATTAAGGGTGATATTTAATATTTACATTTATACCTTTTTAATTTAAATAAACAATAAAGAGAAATGATAGAAAAAAATTTAAAATTAGGAAAAACATGCATAATTTGATACCATGTACAAGAAGCAAAATAGCAAAGATAAGCCCCATATCTAATAAAAGAATATATAAAAATCAATATTTCACAAACTTAATAATTTCACAATTGTGCCTAGCCTTGTTTGTAATTTGTATCTTGTTTGCATAATTTGGAAATCCTAATTGAAATTAGGAAAAACATGCACATTGCACACAGGAAAAACATGCACATTGCACACAGAAATTAGGAAAACATGCACATGCACATTGGTTTCCTAATTAAAATTAGGAAAAACATGCATAATTTGATACCATGTACAAGAAGCAAAATAGCAAAGATAAGCCCCATATCTAATAAAAGAATATATAAAAATCAATATTTCACAAACTTAATAATTTCACAATTGTGCCTAGCCTTGTTTGTAATTTGTATCTTGTTAGTAATTAAAGTCATAAATTAAGGGTGTTTTTATTTCTCATCTAGAAGATAACAACAATTAGAACAAGATAAAACATTGAATACTGAGCTGAACAATGATAAATAAACAAAATAAAATCCAGCTTTACTCAATTATAATATTTCAAAAAGATTGGAGAAAGAAAAAAAAATTATAAATAAGTAAATATACCTTCTGGATTCAGTAAGTCTAGATCTCTTTTAAGGGATAACTTCTGTCTTAAAATATTATCCATGTCATTCAGAAAACCAATGCTTTCAAGTTCAATAGTAAAACTTCTGTCTGTAAATTTAAAGAAAAAAAATACAATAAGAAATCAAGATAAATGCAGATATTAATGTTAATTTAAATATGTTTTAAAAACTTCAATTACTTAATGCTGTAAAACAGTGGTTTTTCCAATTGTATGCAAAGTATTGTCCGATAGTAATCAGAATTATAAAACTATTTTATTAATTAAATAACGAAATTTTAGATTTGGTTTAATGCAGTGAAACCATTCTTTATCACGTAATAATTATTCATTAATTTCTTATAGATAATGAGTTCTTTTGACAACATATTGTATGAGAAAGTAATATTACCATGAATGACCAAAATCAAGAGAATGTCGATTTTCACCAATGAATGTCAACAATCACATAGTCGCTTTGTGGTGAATGTCAAAAATATTTGTTATATCCAATTTGATATTAATTTATTCATTGATATTATTATATTTCTTCGATATTTTAATATCTGCTGAGGAAAGATTAGGAGATACATCAGTGTTTGGAGTACCGGTTAAATTACTGGGCAGTGGCACTTAACTAGACCTAGTATATATTTCGGACATTTACCAAATCGACTATGTGATTGTCAACATTCACTGGTGGAAGTCAACAACCACCAATTTCAATCATTCACAGTAACAGCAATACATCTCTTATCGGAAAGAAAATAAATAATATGAAAGAAGCAAAGTCTTTTCTAACAGAAAATTTCAATACTAAAAACTTTCGCTATACAAGACACTTTTTAAAAAAATTTCTTTTTGAGCCATAGTAGCTGAGACATTCAGTTATCATAGTATAGGACTGTGGTTTGATCTCTGGTAGTTACTTGAGGCTTACTCAGCTACAGATCAATGAGTACCAGCATATCAGGAAGGTAAAGGTGGTTGGTGCACAATAGAATTCAAGTTTTCAATCTTTCATATTGCAAAATTAAACTTCAAAAAATATTTTGAATTGTCTCGGTCACAACTTTAGCATTGTTCCTGTGATTTTTTCTATCACACATTCCCCCAACTTGCAGAAAAATTTTCATAAATATCAGGTCAATTAACAAAAACATTTAATCAATTATTGAATTAAGTATATTTTTTTAAACGGGTACTCCTTTATTGGTCGTCTATTTCATCTGTTTTAAAATAAAAGCTAGAAATTGAGAAAAATTTAAAATGCAATCTTTCATTTAATTTAAGCAATTAATAATATTATAGCATATTTTCAAGGATGCATGCTCAAAGCTAAAAAGTGTTAATATTACCTATTGAAAGTAATGAAAATCTTACAATTTAAATAAAAAAATAATTACCGTCTTCCTTTCTTTTCAATAGTCCTAGTAGGTAATTGCTTGTCTGCTGCAGCAAAACATTATTGTCCCCTTCATAGGTGCAATTTGCATCATTATCATTTCTTAGAGATCCAAATCCAGAGGCTGCAATATAAAATCAAAAAATATTAAAATAAATTAAAGAAAAAATCAGTTTAAATTTTTTTTTAAATTATTTTTTCGAACTGAAACTGATATATCTGATAACTGAAATAATGTATCATACAAAAACTTTATAGATGTTTAACATGCAAGTTTACCTACTTAGCATTCAAAATGGCTATTTTTCTGCTTATATAAATCACTCTTAATTACATTTAGAAATAATGTAGTGTATACAGAAAAATAATGAATTTTTAAGTCGTAACTCACCAAGGAGATTAGAAAATTTAAATTTGAAAATTACAGAACGTTATGCAATTAAACTGAAACAAGATAATTCAGTCAACAGAAATATAGATTTGGTAAAAATAAGATTTTTAAGAGAATGTTAGAAGTTATATACACTATTCTCCCATAATGATAAATCATAACATTATATAAGCTCAAAATCAGGTCTAAAATTTCACAACTTTATTATGTAATAAAGTGTAAAAAAGCTCCTTAAATTTTTTTTTCAGTGTATATTATTTAGCGAACATTAATTGCAACATTGGGTACTACAAAATACAGGTAACTCATGCTAGCTTAAACACTCAAGAAGAATCAATCCCATAAAAGGTCTCCTACCTCCCTTTAGAAAATCAAAATATTTTTAGTCATTATCTATGCATATGTTACTGTGAATGATCAAAATTGGTGGTTGTTGACTTCTACTGGTAAATGTCTACAATCACATAGTCACTTTGGTAAGTGTCCAAAATATATAGTAAGTCTAGTTAAGTGCTACTGCGCGGTATACCCTACATCAATATTTTTTAAGCTTCAGTGCCACTGCCGGTACTTCAAACACTGATGTTTCTCCTAATCTATCTTCAGCAGATATTAAAATATCGAATAAATATAATTATATCAGCGAATAAATTAATATAAAATCGGATATAACAAATATTTCAGACATTCACCAAAGTGACTATGAGATTGTTGACATTCTCTTGATTTTGGTCATTCACGGTAGCATATATATTTTTTTTATATCTCACCATAAAATCTATCAGCAGCACTCTAGTTATTATTCATTTCGATATGTTGTCATAAGGAATAAATTAAATAGTATTAAAAAAAATTAGTTTAAAGATTTTTACTTGCATATATTTTGTTAGACAGTTTTAAGTGACAAGTAATGTTGAATATTTAATTACATATGTTAAATATTATTATAGAATAATTTTGTATTTTTATAGAAATAGAAATCTTACAAATTAATTATTTAGATTTGTGATTTTGCCTAAAATGGCTGTAGAAATTTTAAATATAAATGGTGCTATGATGCCGCATGCTGTAATACATATTAGTTGCAATGGAGCTTGCCTTTTTCAAGCAATAGCATGCACAGTGCGCCAAAAAAAAGAGAACCACCTGGAATAACTTTCAATCAAATGATCGGATTTTCACATTCTAGGACTCAATATTAATGGCTCAAGGGGGTGACTTCAATGCTAATTAATAACTGCAGACCATATTTTAAAATGTGAAATACGACACAAAAACGTACTTTCTCTGAATTGACATACTTTTTTCCAACTGATTCAGATTTCTGACCCCCAAAACATAAGGGGCAGCAGCAATCAGGTGAATAGGGCTCCAATAGTTTGGTCAGGAGAGTGCTCCGAATTTTGGACCCCTTAATATTAATTTTACCTTTTTTGCATATTCCGCTATATCGAGAAGTTTGTATTTTATGATATAAAATTATATTCTTTAAAAACGATGTAAAAATTGTATAACTGACAATTCATTTTTTTTTCTCCCATTCTTAACTAAAATAATTAATATTTACTAAAAGTTATTTTTTGCATGGAATTATCTTTGGATAAAAATTTTTATAATTGAGTGTAAAAATTTTTCAATTCGCCTAAAAAGTTCCTGAGATATAGCGAAATACGCATAAGTAAAATTATCATTAATGGGTCCAAATTTTGGACCGCTCTGCAGACCAAACTTTTGGGACCATATTTCTCAGGTTGCGGCTGAGATTTGTAGAATTACAATATTTTAATACAGTTGTGCTGCGCATTGAGCTTGACTATCATTAAATTTTATATGTTGTACATAATATTGAAAAATGACCAAGCTGGTGACCAAAGAAAACTAGCATTATTATAATAAATGTATAAAATAGGTTCTTTTTAATGTGAACATGGATAATTCAAATTAAAAATTATTCCATTAGAATATGCTACTGGATCCAATATTAAAATTTTATTATTAATTTAAATGTTTCTTTAACATATCTTTATTAATTTGAAATCATATCGAGGAAAATTTAAAAAAAAACTCTCTCAGCTCCTGATGTCCAATTTATTAGTAAGAGATGAACATTTCCTTATAAGAATGGGAGATAACAAAACAACAGTGTGGTCTGGATCTTACTCATTAACTATAAAACCTTTTTATTCATTTCAAGTTGAATTAATAAAAATAAACTATTCTGTTCAATTATTTCAATGCAGTAGCAATAGACATTTTAACATGCAATATATTTTTGCAATATGAGGTTCATAAGTTAAGAGAATAACTTAAATAATAGTTGCAAATAATTAAGCACACAGTAGTTTAATCTTACAAAAGAAACATTTATTACCTTGTAAGTAACCGTGACCACCACAGGCTTCTCTAGATTCTTGAATAGCATCTCTTGCTAGCCATCCAGCCAAAGGCTTAGCTCCACTACACAATGCGTGCAATTCTGCCGCTTTTTCAGACTGAGGACATTAAAAAAGAACATATATAATTTGCATATTATGATGAATGAAATAAATGAGACACAAATCATTCTTTTTTTAAATTTTTTAGAAGATAAACACAAAACATCAACAGAAGGGTTGCCTGTTTAGAAAAACAACTGAACAATGTATTATAAGCCACAGTCATAAAAATCATCAAAAAACAAATTTTTAAACTTTTTCTAAATTTCTGAACACTGGTACAGGACATTGGTTTGCAACCTAAGATATGTTAAGATCATGATGTTATTCATATTTTGAAAAACCTTTGTCATGAGAATCTTCAGGATACAAGTAAACAAAACAAAAAATATATTTTTGAACACCAAATGCTGTAAAAATAGCACTCAGCCTGTAAACTTCATATAAGTTTCTTCTTATTGTGTGTAATATATACATTAAGTTTTCTAAACTTTTCCTGAAAATTCACAAAGATATAACTGGTTGAGTAATAATTTGAATTTCTCGTTGCATGGTTATTTAATTGTTAATGGAAATTTGACATAATTATTGTCTATTTTTAATTGGCAAATAAATAAAGGAATTAATTAAACAGTTATCAAATTAAAACATATGAAGTATATATTCTTTCTTTATTTTTCCTAGGAGACTTACTATTATACATGTTGTTTTTTTAAAAACGTAATTATTGTTTTGTTTCTACAAGCTTTTCTATTGCAAGTCATTTATTTCAATTAAAATTCTTCTATTTCAATAACTTAATATTGAACAAAACTTTAAATTTTTAAAGAGAAGTTAGTTTTAGATTTTAATCATTAATTTAGTTCTTAAAATTTTACGTTAGAATATATTTCCAACGGATTTAACTTAGTAGCGAGCAAAACCTAAATAGCTAGTAAAGTAAAGCATAAAAGAATGCATAGTAATCTTTGGGTGTTGAATAACGTCAGCAAACAGGGAGCAGAGCACACTAGTTTCTAAATTAAAATACAATCAACATATTAAAATAATTATTTTACCAGTTCAGGGGTCTTTTCTCCAAACAAGACAGACATCTGAAAATTTATGAAATCTCTACTAAAAGAATATGAAAAATGATGAAGAACATAGGTAGCAGCAAGATATGGTAACAGTCTCCATTGCTGCAAAAATAAAAAGTTTAATATTTATAGCAAATAAACATATTACCTAATAGATACTATTTAATAATAATAATCTATTAAAAATAACTTTACAAACCTGGAGTTGATATTCTAAAACAGAATATTCTTCTTTTCCGGCAGGTCCAAACTGCTTTCTTACTGCAGAATATCTTATTGATATGGGTAAACACTTCTGAAGATTTGATAGGCACATGTTGATGATAAAAACTCTCCCTAATGATAAAGTACCCATGGAAGCTCCAAACCTTTTATTTGGATCCTGCCAAACAATATAACTATATTTTATTTCCAAGGATATATTAATATCAAAATGGTTATAAAACAGGGGTGATTGGAGCACAAAGTGAAAAACCCTGAAAATTTTAACTGAAAAAAATCAATTTATGTACCATACATGTTTTATATTTAATATAATTTTTTGAGCTAACATTTATAATTAAATTAGCTACGAATGCAGATTATCGTACCTTTAGAGTAACTAATTCAAGAAAAAACTTACTTCTTACAAGAATTGCTATATTGGCTTTTAAAAATGTGTGAATATGAATTGTGATTTTGATGCGTATACATGAATAGTGATATTGGGTTTTAAAAATGCGAAAATACAAATTACGATATTAAATTTCTAAATTTCGTAAATACGAATCACCGTGTAAAATTTTAAGATCGCGCGAATACGAATCGCAATGCGTAATCTTTAAGGCATGTATACATTCAAAAATCGATGTTTAATATTACAAACACATGATTACGAATTGCAATATTGGATTTTAAAAACGCATGAATACGAATCGCGGTATTGGATTTTAAACTCGCATGAATACGAATCGCGATATGGGGTTTTAAAAACATGTAAATTACGATATTGGACTATTAAATCATGTGAATAGGAATTGCGATGTACAATTATTAAATCGCTAGAATATGAATTGCGATATTATCAGATACCGGCACAGTTCCAAATATTTAAAATGGCGAAAATCCGTCAATCCAAAAGAATGAAATTGGCGGAAGAATCACGTATGACATAATTCTTCACGTAATTGGTGGAAGAATGTATGTAAACGTATTGTTAATGGGTTTTAGAAAAAGCTTCAAAATTGTGTCAGTATAAGTCATTGATTCACATAACTATGTGAACAGATGGTCTTGAAATAAGCAGAATTCTACGATATTCGTGCAAAAATCACACGCCCTGCTTCTAGCTTTTAGACCCAGAAAAAATATATGAAAAACTAAGAATACAATCACCCCTGATAAAAAGTATAATTTGCTAAATTCGAATGGAAATTAAAAATTATTAAACTATGAGAAAGAGATCAGGAGTACATACATTAAATGGAGTCACATATCTTCCATCAGGAGTTACATCACCGTTTCTACTTAACAAACTTTCTCTAGGTATTCTATAATTGGTGAAAGAGATAAATCTGAAAGAAATAACAAACATATACTGCATTGTTCTTATTTCATGTCAATAATGAAATGAATCAATGGACAAAAAACAATGAAATGTTTAAATAAAATCATGAAATAAATAACAACATAAATATTTTAATATTTAATTATAAAAACATCTCTAATAAAGGTAATGTTTCATTTTCAAATGAAATTTTTAAATATTGACTAAAAATTTTACTTTTAATTTTAGAGCATAATTAAAAGATTTATAAAGTTAAGGTCACAGTTTTATGAAAACTCTTATAATGAAATAAAAGAAGTGGAGAATGCACAGAAATGAAAGAATGATGTTATGACACTTATAATTAAAAGCTCAACAAATGGGACATTGTTAGATAGTATTTAAATTCAGATGCAATGATTGATATTATATTATCTAATAATTAATAACCAGATTTAAAATGCTGAGATCATAAGTACAGTAAATTGACAAAGAGCATTGTGCTTTATTACTAAATTTTGAGTTTTGATAATCACATTATTATTTTAACATTTTTTGTAATATTTAGCCACTGATGTATTTCTTTTCTATGCATATAAAAAAAAGAAACAATACAACTTATTATACAAGCCATTGGGGTAAACAGGAGAGTTCTTCAGAGCCTCTGAGTATAAGGGTCCCAAAATACTTTTTAATGAAGTTTTTTAAGTCTTATTTTTGGTTGTCTTTAATTTAGAAATGAACTATTTCCATATGATAACTTACCCATTATCAACACCATTTAGACCAAGTTTTGGACCCAAGTCCCCAACAGTGATTCCTGGATAGGGTAGAAGCGTTTTTGGATCTCGTATGGGAACAATGAAAGAATGTAATCCATGGCATTGATTATCAGGAGTATAGAGTTGCGCATAAAGGCATGCATGAGTACCAGTTTGTCCCAGACTTCCAACCCACACTTTTGTTGCTTCCAAATCTGGAGTATTTATGACAAATTCCTGAAAAAAGGATAAGAATAATTATTTAAAAAGAAATATAATAATTGAAATTTTTTTTTTAAACATTGAGTATTACATTAAAAAAGATCAATTTAGGCATAAATAAAACTATAATTAAAAAATATTTGAAAATTAATATTGCAGATTTTTAAAAATACCATAAGCTTTAATTCTTTTTTTTAATTTCTTTACTTTTTACTTCTTTGAATATAAAGAATAAATCAGGGGGTAATCACTGTGAGGAAGAAAAAGGAAAAAAATTGACAATTAAAGAGAAATATAGCATAATTTTTTTTAAATAAATTTTAAATGAAATTTTTTTTTGTTGTTATAATTGATGCTTCTTTGGAAAAATGGTTTTATCTTGGTTAAAGGGCATATAATCTTTTATTATTAAAAAATCATAGCAACTTTATAGTATATTTACAAATTTCATTAGTATTAAAATTACAAATTAATCTGTATTCTTATAAAAAAAATTTCTTTCATTGATTCTTTACTAAATAGATATCTCTTTATAATAAAAAACGATAATGGTATAAAACTGTTTCGCATGATTACTAATGCACTTGTATTGAGCAAAAAATCATATGATAGGGTACCTTAACTTTTCACGTTACCTGTCATATATACATGCCAACATGAAACATTCTATATTCATGCATTCTCATACTGGCGTTTGAGAGATTTCTTGTACGCTCCCAGTCATCACATATTTGTGACAGTGTCATTTTGACCATCTACCTCTGTAGATTTGTTCTTCTACCCAAAACATGATAATATCACTCACGTGCGTTTAGAGTATTTCTTGTTGCATATGAGCTTTAAATATTGGATATTCATTTAAGTGATTTAAAAATAAATAAAAATACTAATAATGTTATTTTTAAAAATAAGTGAGAAAATGAAAATGTTGTAACTTTGCAATGCAAAATAGCATGCAGCATTCACCATGTACTACTAAGAATTGTAATGGTTTGGAATTGCAAACTTAACAAGCTGATAGAGATTGTTGCATAGGTGTTTTGATGAAGAAAAATATTAATGAATTGAAGCGAATGATATTTAAAGACTAGAGTCATAAAGTTTTTATAAAATTAAACTCACTAAAAATTTCGTAATTTGACTAAAACTAAGAAGATGCCAAATGTAGCCACAAAGGCACGCCACTTCAAAATGCCCAGAACCTTTTTTCTGTAGGAGATCATATGTTTTTGAAGCTTATTCTCCCCTATATTTTCAAAACCTCCCTGAATATGTAAAAAATGTTTACAATGCTATGTTTAAAGAACTATAAAAACAATACAAATTTTCTAAATAGGATTGTTTCTAACACTAATCTAAAAAATAGAGTGTAGATTATTTTTCTCATTTCTTTCCTGAATACTTATTTACAAATTGAAATTATAATTTCAGCATAATACTTTTTTTGATATAAATGAACCTTGCCGATTATTTTGATAACAGCAATTCTATAATGCAAACATTATTTATAATTTTCACGCCCAACCAAATCATAACTATTAGAAGTTAAAATAAACATCAAATTGATTTGAATAATAATAATTCAAACGGTATAAATATTTGGAATTTTTGTACCAAAGTAATGTTTCTTACTTTAAGCAATTTAAAAGGAAAAAAAAATTAGAGTAAATATTAACTTCAAAATAAAATAAAATTCTGTATTTATAATAGAATAAAAATCTTCTTCTAAATAAATTCTGTAATTAAAATAAATATAATTTGTAATTTCAAAATAATGAAAATTGATCTAGTTTTTCATAGAATTAGTGCAATTAGACAACCATAATGTTAAACGAAAATCAATATGTTTTTTTACCAATATATTATCTGTTGTTGTTGTTCATTTATGTCACACTAGAGCTGCACAATGGGTTATTGGCGACGGTCTGGGAAACATCCCTGAGGATGATCCGAAGACATGCTATCACAATTTTGATCCTCTACTTGAGGGGATGGTACCCCCGCTTCAGTAGCCTGACGACCTGCGCGCGAAATCGAGCACTTTACGGTAGAACAGTTTAATGAGGACCAACACCGCACACCCTCCGTCCCTACACAGACTGATCCAAGTGGTCACCCACCCGCACACTGACCACTAATGCTTGACTTCGGTGATCTGCTGTCTTAACGATCAGTCCACTACGGGACAATATATTATCTATAGAGCAGCAGTTCTAAAAATTTTTCGACTATGAAACCCTAAATGATCAGCCATTTTTTGGTAGAACCACAACTTTATAATTAGAGTATATAAAGACAATTTTGAATGTATTAACTAATGAAAGACTACTTTGTTTTGAAAATTTTAATTAAGAGGAATGAATCTCTTTTAATTATAGCCTTACACAAATTTAACTGTCTAGTATGTATATGTATCCAACTAACGCAATTTTTTAAAAACACAAGCCTCTTTCATAATTTATTCAACAAATTGTTAAAAAATTATATATTTAAAAAAAAAAATATTTGCTTTTAATGGCATTTTATTTTAAGTAGTATCAGGCAAATATTAAATAAATAATTGATTATTGATTGGATCTCAAAATAATGATTTCAAAAATTATTATTGGTAAAAAAAAAGGATTTAACTATCAGAACCCCTTTAATCTTTCCATGGAACCCAGGGTTTCTGCGGAACACCATATGGGAACTACTGCTGCAGAGGATTGATAAATTTGTGGGATTCTGTCATGAGCAATAAATACATAATAAATTTAAACATCATTTAAGTATGTAAATCAATATTCAGCATATACCTGTGTTTTAGGATCATAAGTAGCAGTAGTTTTCATTTTTCTTGTATTTGTACCATGACTCAGTTCAGTTAATGCAAAACAACCAATCATCTAAAATATATATATATATATATCAAATACATAGTTAAAATGAATAAACATTCTGAGAGTATTGATAGTCACATATATTTTTAAACTTCATATAAATAAGCATAAATCAGTGCTGATTTGAAGCTAATCGTTAAACTCATAGAGTAGGAATTATATGTGCTTATTTTTATATTTCCTTCATTCAAAAGAAACATTCTTATATTTTTTTAAAATATAAATAATTAAGAAATTTTAATTATAAATTTTATCAAATCAAATTTCATAAAAATTTTATAATTATAAAATTATTTAATTTAAATTATAAATAAATTAAAGATTAATTAATATTAGTAAGTATTTTAGCTTCACAAAACTGGCAAAATTTTTCATTCTATTTGATGAATTTTTAGTTATCTAAAGTCAATAAACTAAACCAAAATGGAAAAAAAGAGGGAAAAATTACTAAGTATGAAACTTTATTCACCTGAAAATTTTCAAGGTCAGTCATTAGGTCTAAATGTTTTTTCATTCCAGAACCTCTCAATGCTCCAACAAAATACTGAAATGATCAATTGTATGCATAAATAAATAATAATTTGTTGGAAGAGCAGAATCAAACATTTTTATTTCATAAACTTAGCAAATTAGAGATATAAGTGCAGAAAATAATTGCTAAATATCAACTCACTACATGCTTCCTATAATAACTACTATTGGAAGTTAAAATTTATAATTATTATACAATTAAAAAAAATATTAAACAATAAACAAACTTTCAACTTTATCTTAATCAAAATAAACAATGGTTCAAACTTTATAATCAATGAATTATGATGGAAAAGGAATAACAGAATAAATAAAAAAAATAGCTAACAATATCCTTCCATTGCTTAATTTTATTATTTACATCACATAGCAAAGGAACAGTTTTAAAGATTCCTGATTAAAAAACTACAGACTCTGACTAAATCCTGGTTGAGATAGACTACAGCAATTCACTAAGTCAGTGTTTCTTTACCTTTTGTCGCCCCCATATTCTATAATGAATATTTTTCATTTGTGTGTAACCTCTTTTTATTAAATTGTCTCATAGATACTAAGCTAAAAGTTTATGCCAGTAAAATCATTACTCTGAGACCAGTTAAAAACAATAATCAAGTTGCCCAAACAAATAAAAGTTATAATGATTTTAACCAAAATTTTACTTTTGTTAAAGAACTGATTTAAAACAGTTGAAATAAAGTTTTGCAAAAAAATGATGAATTTATTCACTCTAACTTGCCTGTCTTTAAACATTTTGATAGCAGAAAATTTTCAGCCTTTATTTTTATTTCTTTTACAAAAGAAATTACAATTAATTTCCTTAAATATGGAAAATTTAAGCAAAAAAAATAAAGTAATTAATTTGCTATTGTACTAATAATATTTTTATGAACTCTTCGGCAAATAATCATCGCAAATTATCACCTAGCCTTTGTTTTTCTTAGGTTAATGAATCAGATAAATTAAATTAGTGAAAGGTTAAAAATTTGTCATCCTAGTAATTAGAACTCACAAAGCACTTGTACATGCAAATCAAAATCGTAATAGCACATAACACTCGTGAAATTTACCTCATAAGAAACTGATCGTTTAACAGATAGTGACCAATCATACATTCCAATGAATATAAGAAGGCCTTGGGCTAACAGTGGATTGCTCAAGAATTCGTCATACGTAAAGAACTGATATTCCATCAACCGCTTCATTCTTTGAAAACATAAATGTCGGTATTGTTGGCAAGAAAGTTCTTCTGAAGGCAGACGTTGAAATAATGGGTCTTTCTCTAAAGTTCTCCAGATTTTGAGCTGGAAATAAAAGAAAGTTATGAATACATTCAAGTCACTTTTTATGTATTTAAAATATAAGAATGAAAGAAATATAATTTTAAGCATTTTGACTTTTTTTTAATTATATGACTTAAGATGCAACAAAGATAAATGTACTTCTTCCATTTCATAAAATTGGAATGTTCTGTGAAAGAAAACCAGGATATTTTTATTAATCAAACTAAAATATATTGCTCAAGATTTTGTTTTATATTCCTAGGGCAATTCAATTACAGTCCTACTAAGTTTTTCCATTTTATTGTCTTTCCTTTGATCAATATATCTTTTAACTTAAAAATTATTTATAAAATTTGTCCGAAAAGATCATTTGCAATTTCCCAAAATTTTATCTGAAGTTTTACGCAAATTTTATCAATTTAATCAATATAAGATGTTTACAGTATCACTTTACAACTTTATTATTTTTAATCAAATTCCAAAGTCATCAGATCTTTTTAAATTTTCTAATCAAGTTTATTTTCAAAAATAAATAAATCAACTCGAAGAGTGTAATTCGCAACAACCCCAGGGAAAACATCTTCATGTCTATTTTTTTTTAAATTTTCCTGTTTAAAATCAATTTCGTATCTTGGCAATTGAAGTTAGCGTGGGTGATTCCGATACGGAAATTTCCCAGCTTTTAAATGGGTTAGCTAAAAATGAATTGAAAATAATAAAACTAAAATACAGACGATCATGTTATATATATATATATNATATATATATATATATATCAAAATGTAGAGAAAACATGGAAAAATTACAAAACAATGGGGGAAAGGGGGGGAAGAAAAATAATAAAAATAACGAGACACCGGAGAGAAAAAAAGGAAGAAAAAAATAATAACATACTGGAAAATAATTTTTATTATTTTTTTCCCCTTTTTTTGGATTTTTTTTCTCCAATTTCTAGGTATTTTTATTATTTTTCTTTCTCCCCCTTTTTTTCTCATTGTTTTGCAATTTTTTCCATGTTTTCTCTACATTTTTAACCTATTTTATGAGTTCTATTTACTTGCAGCTTATGCGCAGTAAACGAAACTTATTGTTTTTCCTAATTTTCTTTTTTTTCTTATTTCTCTCTCTCTCTCTATATATATATATAAACTATATATATATTAGTTAAAAACATGGAAAATATTAAAGATTAATAATAAGAGAAAAAGAAAAGAAAAAAAATTTAAACAAAATATTTAAAAAATATTAAAAAGCCGGAAAACAAAAAAAGCAAAAAGGAGTGTATATATTATATATATAGAGAGAAATATTTATACGAACATAAGTTAAAATTTAATTAATAAATAATATTTTCTCATTAATCTCTTTTCTTTTATCCTTTTTCTCTTTACTATATTTTAATAATGTTAGTCTTATATATATATAAGGTATTGCAATGTAAATAAACGACTTATAGAATAAATTAGCATTAAATGAAACATTCTTAATAAAAAAATTCGATTTACCTGAAGTTTCAAGATTTCTTCTCCTTCAAGCAAGATTTTCATTTCTTTCCAATCAAATTTTGCTTTTTTTCTGTAGTAGTCCAAAGGACCAGGTTTAAAATCATCTAGCAAATCTTTCAGGTTAGTTTTATTTTCCATTATTAATTTACAAAGTTGAATTAAGTACTAAATTTCTAAGGAGAGAAAAATAATGCATTAAAACAAATAAAAAAGTGACATTAGAAATCAGTCATAAAAGTTTATTATCATGAAAAGCCGATAATTTATCGAAAAAATTATCTAAAGATATTATCGGATTAAGTACCTGTGATCTAAAGCACAGCTAATATTGGAAATATCTAAGAAATGAAGAAAATTTCCGGAACAATTAGAAAGCAATTTTCAAGTACATCAAGAATGAAAACTCGTTTTTTGTTTACATCCAAAAAAATAAAAGAACCTTCATACGATAAACAGACGGAAAAATAATCTTCAACTCTTGCCGATATCAACAGGCTATTATCGATTATTAATTTTTGATCTTTCGATACAAAGCCTCGAACTAAAGTTCTCTTGAAATAGTTTAGCGGCACCCTAACTAAACAAAAATAGACAGTATTAAACGCTATACAATAAATACAAATAAATAATTTAAATTTTGCTAAACAAAAACTTAGTTTAATTAAATAATTTTAAGGAAATTCCCCAAAAGTATTGCAGATTAGTATTCGTTTATAACATGTTAAATATTTATTCTGCTGGAGGAAAATATTTTGTTTGGAATGCTGAAGGCAAGCTCATTTGATTTCAATTTTTTCTGAACTAAACAATTAGGAAAAGCAAAAAGTTTAGTTCCTTTACAATTTATAATACATAAGGCATAGATATTTTTCTCGTACTGGAAAAAATATTTTCAAAAATAAATAATGTATCTTATATTTATCTAAGATTTCTCTATTGTTTCTAATATTATTTTTTAAATATAACAAGATGTCATGTTAATTATTATTATATTCGAGAAGATTTCCGTAACCTGATCTGTGGCAGAATAATCGCAAATCTTGGCAACTTCTGGGCAGCGGCCTGCGAGAAACTAAAAAAAAAATATCACAGAAAGGGACCAACTCGAAGGATATAACTTGTAGCCATTACTGGCAAACATCTATATGTGTATTTTTTTTAAAAAAATTTGCTAGTTTAAAATCTATTTGACACCTTGGCGATTGTAGTTGGCATGACGGATCAGTGTTACATGTTTATTACACTCTTTGTTATTTAACTTTAGTGGTTAGAATATTAAACATTTTATGTTTGAACTTACTGGTACTGTTGTATCCATGCATGTGATCTGCATATTTTCTGAATTTCATTTTATGTAACAAGTAATATATTCTTTAAATATATTTTTAGATGTTATGACACTTCGTAAAGAACATCGTATTGTTGGCTCACTGATGGGAATATGCCCTCTTAAACCATTTCAAGTGCAAACTAAATGGTTACCATTACAACTCATGCCAGAAGAAGCAAGACTATTACTTGACAAAGGTTGTAATTTTTCGTTATAAAGTTACTCAGCTTTACCTATTTTTTTTAAAAAATTAATATTGTAAAATCTCTAAACAACGGTAAATTGCGATACTATGCCAATGGGACAGATGTAAGGATATCTTTGATACATAGAGTTATTAAATATTAGTTGGTTTAAAGATTGAAAAAGTAAGTAAATAGCTGATTTTTTTCAATAAATACTGATCCAAAAAATCACAAACTGTTAATTTAATCCATTAAAATGTTGATCTGATAATGATTGATCACTTTTTATTTTAAACAACATTAATTTGCATTTTATTTTTATTAAGAAAAAAGGAAATTGGTCTGCATGTAATGTAGCTGATTTTTGTAGGCTTATTCCTTTTATTCTAACCCAATAACTAAGGTCTCATTCCTTAAAATGATGATTTTTCGCTTGAACCAGAGACATAGTTAGCAGGGAAGGAATATCTGCCTCCAAACGCAGCCTTGGAAGGACACCAAATTTACAAAAAGATTAAAAATGAATTCCAAGGTAAAATGCCTTTCTCATTTAAATAGTCCCAATTTAATTTGCTAATTGTGGATCCATAGCTTCTTCAAATTTTCATAGAATTTAACTTTGAAAAGGATGTCTATTAATATTTCAGTTTGCTTTGCTTGTAGGCACATTTATATATTTTTTACAAACACATGTACAGTGAAACCTCCTATTATGGACACTCCTGCAAGACGGACGCCTCTCAATATGGACATATTTTCAATTCCCCAAGAATTTTCTATGAATATACCATTATGTACACACTCCCGTAACCGGACGCGGACAGTCATTTTGGTCCTGAAACGTTGTTTTCTATCTCCACAAACCGGACATTACTTTTTCTAAATTTGAAAAAGGAACTATTTTTGCTTTAAATTGCAAGCTAAAAAAAATGCAACTTTTCACCATTTTTAAAGCATGTAAATAAAATTTTTTGCCTTATCCGTAACTAAAAACATTCTTAAGCTATTTCACCACTGAAAAATCAATCTTTCTCCTGTCACCTTGCCTTATCTTTGTAAAAAAAGGAGAGAATACTGAACTCCTGTAATAATTCTGACATCTGCATCTTTTGATCTTTTCATCTGGACCATATAGGTCATGAGACCCCTCAAGTTGAAATGACATCTCTCAATGCTTCTTCCCCATTGAAAATTTCATTAATTTTCTTATAAATTTGAAGATTGTATTTAACTCAACTGGGGTAAAAAAAAAAAAGAGAACAGAAGTATGATCTTTGAGGAGTTTCTATAAATGAAACATTTATTCAGACACTTGATAGCTGATCAATTGTGAATAATCAACTCCATAGGTCCTCATTACTTACAGGTATTCATTACTTTTTTTTCTTTGAATCATGGGAGGGTTTTTTTTTTCAAGAAGGTATAACCATGGTCCCTATCAAATGATAAGTAGGTGTAAGGGGATGTAAAACTATTAATTGAAGCGGACTGAGGACAGAAAGCTCCCATCTGGTACCATATGTCTAACTTGAGTATCTATGCTGATATGAAAATTATATTTATTTATTTATCTGTAGCTACATCCAGAATTATGTATTTATATCAAACTTCTTTATATATTCTTTTTTATCTTTCTTATTGTTTAAATAAATATTCTTGTAGATATTTATAGTATCCTTGTAGATACTATTTAATTATTTCTACATCTTTGAAAATATTGTAAAAACAATTTACGGTGTCAAATTTCGTTATTAGGGTACCCTTCCCGTAAACGGACAACTCTCATAAACGGACAAATTTTTTGGTCCCATGAATGTCCGCGTAACGGAGGTTTCACTGTATTAATATAAATATTTTTATCATATGAATTAATGAGATTATGTCTCTTCATTGTTATTCTTTCTAATTCTTAATTAGTTATTTTTTTTAAAATTTTTAATACTCTTTTTCTTTTATTTAAAGTCCTTTTTTTTCTTCCTGTTTTTGTGTTATATATATACAGATTACATTTTTATTTTTTGTGTACTGCTGACTGAAGGGCTTTTCCTGTTATTCTAGGTGATCATAATCATTCTGTCAGATTGTATAAATGTAACTGTTTTTGGCTATATTAATACAATATTAGAAAGCACTATGTTTTTGTAAATAATCAAGTGAGCTGATGAAATTTTATCTTTTCATTGTTAATTTTTGTAATTCTTAACTAGTTTCTTTTTTTTTTAATTTCTTGATTTTTAAATTTATAATACTCCTTTCTTCTTTTATTTAAATTTTTTTTTAATCTTATATATGTACACACAACATTTTTTTACATATACTGTAGGCTAAAAGACTTTTTTTGTTATTCTGCCTAGGTGTCCAATATCATTTTGTCAGATTAATATAAAGGAACTGTTTTATTTTTTTTTGCGAAAATTTTAATATTGTTATTGTAGAATGTATTTTAATATACTGTTTGACTTTTTCTAAAAATGTAAAGTTGTCTTCTAGGATTATTATTTTTATTTTATATTTTTGCAGGTATAGTTAAATTACTACAAAGTCCAGACACAATTACTGACCCTAGTTTGATTGAATCATACTTTTCTAAACGGGATGAACTTTGCAAAGAACAGGTATTTATGATTTATTATGAATTATAAAAAAACTCTTCCTTAGAGTTTTAGCACTGTGTTTTGTATTTTAAGAATATGTGAAATTTTTCATGGTATATAGCCACTAATAATGATTTGCAGTTATTTTATTAGATGCTGTATTAGTAAATGTCTATTGAATGTATCTATATTGAAGTTAATCCAATATGCATACAATAATGTAACATATCAAATAACAAAAATGATAGATCAAATAACTGTATCTATATTTCAAATATAAATACTATATTCATTAAATAATTAAATCAATTTTGTTAAAAGAGATTTCCCTGTAATATTTTAAATCTAGATACTGCAGGGAAATTTCTCTTTAACAAAAGATTTGTACAATTATTTAAGTAAATGTTACAGAATGTGTAGTCCAAACGATAAGCTCAAAAGAATATAATTGTGATTTATAAAAAATAAAAACAATATATATTACAAATTTATGAAAGTCATAAATTTTTATACTATAAATAAAATTAGAAGTCGAAAAAATAATTTTTTTTTATGTAGTTAACTACTTTATTACAAATGTAGTTAACTACCACTACTTTTTTACATATGTTAAGACTGTAAACTACTTTTGAAATGTAGTTATTACTTTTAGGAGATGAATTTTGCTGGTGAACTTCATTTATACCTTTTGTTCAAAATGGTTTTGAATGATAAATATAAAGAATTATTTAGATATACAGGGTGTTTGTAAAGTCCCGGACCCATTTTGAAGTTTAATAACTCAAAATTAATAACATAAATGGTTAGATAGACTCAAAAAGTTTCATGACCCTTGTCTTCCACGTGTGCCCCCTTCGTCGCACGGAGAATAACAAGTTGATAGTCAATTTCACGCCAGGTAGCGGCAAGCGTGTCGGCATCCACAGAGGCTATTGCGGTTGTGATTCTGGCTTTTAGGTCATCAATGTTCGACACGATCCTCCTGTAAACATTGTCCTTTATAAATCCCCAAAGAAAAAAGTCCAGCAGCGTTATATCAGGTGATCTGGGTGGTCAAGGAATTGGACCTCCTCGCCTAATCCATATTCCTGGAAAATGGTCATTCAAAGAACTACGAACATTGATACCCCAATGAGGTGGTGCAGCATCTTGTTGCAAAAAGACATGTGACTGAAGCTCTTCTAGTTGTGGAAATACGAAGTTTTCTACGATGTCTAAGTATACGACTGATGAGACCGTCTTTTCTGTAAAAAAGAAAGGCCCAATGACTCGGTCGTGCATTAGTCCACACCACACATTAACCTTTGGGGAATCCTTTTGTGTCTCACGGTATTCATGGGGGTTTTCAGATCCCCATATGCGCGCATTATGACGATTAATAATGCCAGAAACATGAAAGCTTGCCGTTACCTGGCGTGATATTGACTATCAACTTGATATTCTCCGTGCGACGAAGGGGGCACACGTGGAAGTTCATTGACAAGGGTCATGAAACTTTTTGAGTCTATCTAACCATTTATGTTATTAATTTTAATCTATCTTTATTATTTTATGAGTTATTAAACATCAAAATGGGTCCGGGACTTTATAAACACCCTGTATTTATTCATGTTTGCATGAGTCAGTTTGGTATTCTAAACAATTATTTTTACGAATTTTTTCTTTTAACCTATGATTTTTAATGCCTTTCTTGACAGTGAACACTTAATTTAAGAAATACTAAAATATTATCAAATCTTTGCAATATTGTTACATGTTTAATGTTCTTTTATTGCCTCTAAGAAATAAAGTGCATCAAAGTTATAGAGCAAAATATGTTTCCATTGGAATGAATTGTAGGTATTCTTTTAATACGTTCACATTTGAAAGTATGGTAATTTAAATTAGAGGCAGATATGCTCATTTTTATAAAATGTAAAAAATCCAAAATGGAAATATTTGCTTGAAATTGCTTAAAAGCAATTCTTTTGATTAACACACATTATCACAAATATTCAGGTTAATGCAGAACCAAAGTTGCAGCTACAATATTACTAATTCTTTATAGTCTTATGTATAGTTTTATTTATGTATAACAATTTTAAAGAATGTCATTTTTATACATATTCTTAGGCATTTATTATTTTTTTTAGTTGATTATAATGCATACATGTTGCTAAAAAAAATTTTTTTTTCAAAGGCTGCTATTCTGAAAGAAAACAGAAAAAAGGAAATAATCAGTAAAGCAGATGAAATATATGCTGGAAAAAAGAGAAAACATTTGGAAAATAAAGTTGACGGTAAAGAAAAAACTAAAAAAACAAATTCTGCCGAAGAATTATCTTCCAGCGATAATAATGACAAATCCAGTTCTGCTGTAGATAAAAGTAATGAATGGAAAGAATCACCAGAAAAATCAAAAGAACTGAGTGGTATTGAGGAAAATATAGATGGAGGGTCAAAATCATCTGCACTTTGTGCTGGTGATGACAGACAGGAACTTTTATCTCAAAGTAGTTGTAAAGATGATTCTAATGTTTGTGATTCCATTAGCAAAGAAGATACAAAGCTTTCTGATTCGTCAGAAGTGCTAGACAAAGAAAAAATTATCGAGACGGAAATTGCTAAAATTCCAGAAGTCAATAAAGAATTGTGTATGGTACAGTTGTTTACAGGTAGGTAGATATTAGAGATTACTGTGATAAAATAAATTTTATGTCCATGAATGTTCCAAATATCGACCCATCGAAGAAAAAAAAATTTTTTTATTGTTGCTATTTCTTCTCATGAAAAAACCCTATCCTTTTTCTTGTCAATCATAATTTCACACAACTTGCACTAAGATTGCCAATACTTCTTTCACACATTTTACTTAAAATACTTTAAAAATATTTAAGATACTTTTTATTTTAAGATATGTGCTTCCTTTTTCATAAAATATTGTATAACTACTGTGAAACCTCTCGGGAGCGACCACTCTCCATTCTACAGTAAAATGGTCATTCTTAGAGGTTACCTAAATTGACTTCAAAATTGTTATCAAAAGTACATTTTTAGTCAGTGTCATTTTCTTGGTGCGGAAATGCCACTTCTGTTGACATCATGAAAAGACGGATCTATGCATAAAATTTAGCGTCTATAAAAATGATCCCAACTGATTTAATTATGTTTAAAAACAAATTTACCAATTATGAATGATAAAGCTGTTTTAAATAAATAAACAATTATGTTTTTTGTTTAAGTTTGCATTTAATTTTTTATCATAAAAATTAGATAGCTTTAATAGATGAGGAGAGGTTTGTTGGGATTCTTGTTTTTTTCTTCTAAAATAACTTTTTTTTTTATCTAATTTAACTTTCAACTCTAAAAGTAAATCATTGATAGCATCGTCTTTAGTGCACTCTGATTGCAACATGAGATTGTATCATCAAAAAGAGCTCTTTATATTAAAGTCTCACTCAAATATTTTGAATAGATTTTAATCTACTTGTTTGTTTTGTTAAATTTTTTGTTGTGATATTTTTTTTATATTTCATTATTTAACCTTTTTCGCACTATGTTCAAATGTTTGCCCGGTCGCTGGGAGGTGTTTTAATGGTTTCTCCTGAAGGTTTCCTTCAATACCAAGTCTATGGAAAAAGATTCCGTGCTTTCCAAAAGTGGTCGGCAATTGAGGTGGTTGCTCATTGTGGTGGTCTTTCCTGGAGGTTTCACTGTATTACAGTTACAAAAAAGAAATGTTTGAAGCAACTCTTTGCTTTTCTGTAATATAAAAAAAGTAGTACAGTAGAGAACCGATTATCCGGAACGATCGGGATCATCGCGATTCCGGAGAACTGATTTTTCCGGTAATCGCTGCAAAATGCCGTTTTTTTAATGTTTATAAAACGAAACTAAAAAATTATTTTGAAATAGTTTTAGAAATCATAAAAATTTTTTAATAATAATACACTTAAGTTTAAATAAGGAAAGAAATTATGAAATAAAAATCATATACAGGCTTATTATGTTATTATTAACATTAATAACATATATAAGCTTTTTGTGCTCATGTGAGATTCGTCTACAAACGGCTTTTGATCCGTCCTCTAAATCAGTTCTTTCGTCAACTTGATACGCCGTATGCTCTAAATAACAAAATGGGCTCAAAATCTTGCAGGAAAAAAAATTTTTTTTTAATGGAAGAAAATTAATTTCCGGTTGCGAATTTCATTCCGGTTATCTGGTTTTCCGGTTTTCTGATTTCCGGATAAGAGGTTCTGCACTGTATATAAAGTCTTTAAACATTTATCACACATTTTTCTTAAAACACTTTCAAAAATATGTAAGAAATTTTTAATTTTCAAAAATATGTTTCCTTTTTCATGAAATATTGTATACAGTTATAAACAAGAAATGTTGAAGCAGCTCTTTGCTTTTCTATATTATGAAAAAAATAATTTTTAAAATCAAAAGAAAATCTTGGTTTATGATTGTCTTTATCTAAAAAATTATGTAATTTGAAACTTGATGGTTGCTAAAAGCACACACTAAGTTTAAAATTTTGATACAAATTAACTTTTTAAAATTAACACCAAACATACCATAACTGGTCAAAAGACCGTTTATTGTAAAGTGTTAGTATGTTTAGTGTTAATTTAAAAAGGTACATTTGAGTTTTATGGTTGTCTGTAATTAAAATTTGTTTAATTAGAAAAGTAAGTTAAGAACTTTATGATTGTATTAAATTGAAATTTAATTTCAACTGTTATATTTAATTACTTAACTCTATTTATACCATTTATTAAGTATTTTCAATTTAAATAAGCTTGATAATGGAACTATATTTTGAGTGTCATAAAAATGTTAGGGTTTCTTCTAGAGGCATTCACAGAATGCGTTTTTTTTTATAAATTGAGCTCTGAATATATATATATATATATTTGAAAAACTTAGTGTAAAAAGCATAAATGTAATGTAATAGGTTTAAAATATCAACTACTAGTGTTATATGGTAGTGTTAAGAAATTTTGCTACAAGTTAGTGTCCACTTTTTAAAAAATTTTAATGATTAATAAATTTTTTGATATTAATAATGTAAGGCGTGTCTTTTGAAGCATTTCTCAAAATTTGGTAAACATTGCAAGTTTATTTTTAAGATGAAGAAAAATTTCAAGAAAAACAAACATGAAATAAAGTAATTCTTAGATCATTATGAAATATTTATAATAATTCCATATTTGTTAAGGAAAATAATAGGGTAGCACATAGGGTGCATTTTCGATGAAAAAAATGGCGATTGACTGATAATTTTTTAATCACCATTTGTTGTCTTGTGCTCAGTGGCAGTTGTTAATATTGCCCTATAAGGATTATTTTTTTCTTTTTTGCTGTTCTACCTGTAAAGTATTGTACATTTGCCTTATGAGTATTAAGACACAAGATTTTAAAAATTTTGAAAACTGGTGTGAACCCTCAGTGGCATCTTGAAGTTCACTCAGTTCAGATCAATGCATACCAGCTAGTCTAGGAAGTAAAGGCAGCTGATGTGCAATTCTAACCGCATTGTCATTGGTCATCATGCCATTGATCACCGAATTGTGGAGCTAACCTTGCATGAACCCCCCTGGCTCACAATGAGCTCTTACAGAAATGGTTCACTTTACGCTACTTTAATCAACACTATTATTATTATTTTTAACAGAATGTCCTTGGAAAAACATGTCAGCATTTGGAAAGTTGGTATATCCTTTCTCGGAAACAGAGAAATTAAGATATGCAGTCTTTAGAGATCTATGGGAAAAAGGTTATTACATTACAAGTGGGTTGAAGTTTGGAGGTGATTTTCTTGTTTACGAAGGTAACTTTAAATTTGTTATTATTAGATATAACTTTAAAAATGTGATATTTTTTTAATGAATGAATCAATTTTTGTTTCTCAATAATATCAGATGCAATTGTAATGAAGTTCTATGCATTTTTTTAAAATTTTTACCTGCTAAAACCATTCAAAGTTATATCCACTTAATTTTTTTTTATTAATTTTTTTAAAATTAAATTTAAACAAACATCTAAGTGTTAAAATTAGAGTGCTAAAATTATAATGCATTTGTAATTGCTATGTGTTGGATTCATAATTAAATATTCAGTCTATTGCTGACATATTTGATATGTGTGAATATTCTATATATTTATATGCTTTGGCAACATATATATATAATCTAAACTTATAGGGTATACTTCATGCTCTTTAGACTAAAGTGAAAAAATGTGAATTAAGTACAAATGTAATATTATTAATGTATTTCACATTTTCTTTTCCAGGTGATCCCATAAAATATCATGCTGTATTTATTGTTGTTTGTGTTCTTTTTTCTGCAAAATTTCAAGCATTGGATGTTTTGATGTATGGACGATTAGGTCATCAAGTGAAAAAAACAGTTGCTTTGGCATCTTTTAATGAATCTGGAAATGTTGATTATATTTCTGTCAGTTGGGCTAATGATTTATCTTGAAGATTTGACTTAATAAAATATCTATTTGTAAATACATTCTCTAAAAATTTATTAAGTTCAATATATTTTTCTACTTATTTGTTCGCATATATATATTTATATATCTATATCTTTATGAGTATATCACTAAATCATCCTTATGGTGTCATTGTCTTTGCTGCTCAGGGTGGGCCTTGGCCTTTTTAAAGATTTTTCTAGTCCACGTTTTTGCAGGCAATTATCCACTAGTTCTTTATTTTAACAGAAAAGTCTTGTTTTAAACAGTCCTTCATTTTTTTTTCTGCCTTTCGACTTTTTATTATAGAGCATATATTTATATAACTTGTATAATTCTAAGTTCTTTCCTCCATTTACCATTGTCACAAAACCAACCAAAGATGGTTCTGAAGACTCTTCTTTCAAATATCAAGAATACATTTTCATCTTTGGCTGTGAGGGTCAATGATTTCAAGGCATAAAATAGATTTTGTAAGTAAATTGTAAAGTAATACAAGAGTTTTTCTTTTAATTAAATTGGACTTTTCTGATACCACGAAAGCATCAATTAGCGACCAAAATTCTCTTACTTATTATTATTATTACAATTAATTGTCAAAATGATAATATTAATTGCCTTCAACTTGTCAAAATTCATTTTGACAAAGAAATCCCAAATCGGTGGAATATTTTACAAATTCAAAAATATCATTACAGTTACTGTCTTTTCCACAATGCATGTATTTTGTATTATCTTCATTGATCAGGGTGCGTAACGTTTTTAAAAAGTGCTTAGGTGTTTTTTTTATTCGGGTTTTGTAAAAGGTGCGTAACTTTCTATCTTTTAAAAAGAGAATTTTGCTTTGCCGTGTAGATTATCGTTATAAATTACGAAAAATATATGATTTTCACAATTTTCTCTGCAATATTTATCAGAAACTAGTTGTTTTTATCAGGATTGCGTGAAGATTTCGAAAATGTTTTTGAATTTTTAATGTTTATAAATTAAGAACTCTAAATGATAGAAAAAAAAATTTTTTTTTACATTGCCCTATAANTTCGAAAATGTTTTTGAATTTTTAATGATTTATTGTTTATAAATTAAGAACTTTAAATGATAGAAAAAATATTTTTTATTACTGCACAGATTCTATTTGTGATTTATTTATTTTTTTTGGAAAGTGATTAAAAATATTTTTTAAATGCTTAAAAAGTACTTAAAAGGTGCTTGTTTTTTGTTGAAAGATCTGATTACGCACCCTATTGATTATCATATTCATTTTCTTAGTAGCGAATACCAGTGTAATAAAGGATTTCCTTACTATTTTTTCAGATCTTACAATTAAATCAGTATCATCTGCTTGTGCAGAAACCTACTTAGTTCTACTAAAAATAACACCCCTTTTAGTCATAGCATTGTCTCTAATTACTTTATCTAAGGCTACATTAAATAAGAGGTATGCAAGTAAATCTCCCCATTTACTATTTCAAAAGATAGTTTACCTTGAATTTATACCTTAGAGTACTTAGTACTCTAAGGTACTCTTCGGCAGTTCATTTCCATCTATACTGGTGTATGGGTTGCCTTGAAATATGTCGATAAATACTCAGTATTGTATTACCTGATTAATCGCTTCCCTTGCCGATTTTTTTTTGGGGGGGGAGAATGCAAAAAATCAACATATTTTTTTATTTTATTATTAAATACGAGGAACTAAAGCAAAACATAATACATAAGTTTTAAGTTAATATTCAAATTTTTTTATTTGTACCATTAGTTTTTTTTATCCAGAGTTATCTCGCACAAATGAAAAAAGAATTTTTTTTAATTATTTCAAAGAATGTAAATTTTAAATTACAAATGACAAAATTTGAGTGAAATTTGTGGAATAATTTCTGAGAAATCATCTTTTGCAAATGCCGTATTTTTAAAATTTGATTTCTCAAGAACTGTTCAACCAAACTTCCTCAAATTTTATATTTTGCTATGTAAAAATACATTCTTTGAAATGATGTAAAAATTATATACCTTACTGCACAAATTTTTTTCGCGTATTATTAAATTACTTAATAAATACTCACTAAAAATATTTTCGCATGGAATTTTTTGCGGCTAAACGAGTAGGTAATTTTTTATGCGTATTTTTTTTTTTATTTCGCTAAAAAAAATTTTCGAGACATGGCGAATTACGCAAAAAGTAAAATTAACTTTAAATGGTCCAAACTTTGGACCGCTTTCCAAACCAAACTATTAAGACCATATTTTCCAAATTGCTACTACCCCCTATAATTTTATTTTTATAACCGTCGTTGAACAGCCGACCCAATTTTATGGGTTTACGACTACTAATGTTCAACTCCGTTGCCTTGTAATTTTGAACCCATTCCAGAAGACAAGGGAACTGGATCGATTATTGGGAGAAATTTGCCTTCGTGGAGTTGAATTTTTTTCCCTTGGAGTTGCTTCTGTCTCCCTTGCCCATCTCCCCGACGTGTTGCCATGGATCGCCACCAAGCCTACCTCTTTGAATCCTCTTTTTCTTTTGCTGAGAGGTCACGTGCGCGCACTTAGTGTCTACTGTATTCTCCGGGACGGCTTTGATACTCCCTATAATTTGAGGGTAAAAAATCTAATTCCATTGGGAAAAGGTATATTCTGAGAAAGTACGTTTTTATGTCTGATTTCTTTACTTTAAATATCATGGTCACTAAATGTTGTTATCGTCACTAAACGTTGGCCATTAAGGCAAGGGGTGCGATTGTTCTTGCTTTCCAGTGGCACCATCTATGGCCAAGAATTTTATAGTGGCTACACTCGTTTGTAAGGCTGATCCATTCTTTCATCCACAGATCGTAATTTTGACCTGAACGATCAATCTCCAATACCCCCAGAGGTATAATTTGTTATGAGAACATGGAGGACTTTGTGACCCGACAGATTTAACGTGCACCAGTCTCTTACTACACGTGGAGTATTCGGCCGGTCTAGTGCCCTGCCAACCAGGCTATCCCGGTCAGGACAGTGGTCCGAAGTTTTGACCCCTTTATGTTAATTTTACATTTTGCTTATTCCGCTTGAATATCTAACTTTTTTAAAATTCAATTTCTCACGAACTATTCGACCGACTTTACTCAAATTTTGTAATTCACCATGCAAAATTATGTTCTTTAAAATAATGCAAACAATTGTATGCCTCCAAATTTTTTCAACCATTATTAAATAAAATAATAAATATTTAGTAAAGGTTATTTTTGCGTGTTATTATCTTTAGACAAACGTGCAAAATTTTTTCAATTCGCATAAGGAAATTTTGAGATATAGCGAAATACGCAAAAAGTAAAATTAACATTGAGGGGTCAAAACTTAAGACCGTTCTCCTGACCAAACTATTGGGACCATATTTTTCAGATATGCAGCTATCCCCTATGTTTTGGGGGTCAGAAATCTGAATCCGTTGAAAAAAAAGAACGTTTATACAGAGAAAGTACGTTTTTGTGTCTGATTTCATCACTTAAAATATCGTCTTCACTTATTAATAAGCGTGAAGTCACCCCTTCGAGCCACTAAGGTTGAGACCTAGAAAGTGAAGAATCCCGATCAGAAGTCATTCAAAGTGGTCTGCTTTTTTTCTCACGTTTCACTAGTATTTTGTGACGTTCGTGCAAAAATTTTAAACTTTTTTTTTTAAGGTAGAAAATATGAATTGAGTATTTTTCTGTACACACACATAATCTAAAACCAGACTATATGCCTAAAATGACTAATGTATTTAGCTTGCGGTAGAAACTGAATGGAAAAAAAAATTTATATGGCTAAAAGTTGTTCCTTAAGAAAAAATGTGATCTTTTTTCCAAGAATGAAACTCATCCTTTCTTAGTAATCAGTGATTCTGAAAATACATTATCATGAGCTCTCAAGAAAAAAAAAAGCTTTTTTTCTCAACAGAATTTATCTACACTTATATAATTCATTTATCAATGAAAGCATATCAAACCTTTGGTTGACAATGTAGCTTTGTCAAGTCCGACTTGGAACGACTATTTTGTCTTCGTCCAGAAAGAACGTGTTAAGTATGCTTATTTACTTTAATTATTATTTTATTTATTTATTTATTTTTTTTTTGTATTAACATTATAATTAATATATTGCAAATGTTTTCGTAAAAAAAATATAAAAAATAAAAATTGTGTTTAATTTTGACAGATTTTTGGTTTTGGCATATTCAATTGCGTCTAAAAATTTCACGGGGTTTAAAATAAAATATAGGGTTTCACAGCTTTTGTTCGCCGACCCCCGTGCCAGCTTTAGGAATTCCTTTCGAATCACCTGCTCTTCTAGGACATAGGATATACTACTAGGACACAGTAGTCTAATATTATTGTTTAACCCCTTCCTTCAAGCTCCCATCGAAATGACGGGGTAAAGTTTCGCCCTCTGTTATTCGTGTCCTTGATATTTCCGGGCTTTAGTGTTTAAAAGTAATGAGCCGAAAAGATTAAAATAATCTATCACTTATGCCCAGAATCACATTTATTTCTCAATCTATACACCTGATAGGAACACCAGACTATTTGTAATGCGTGTAGTTTATTTTAAACTCTATGTCACTACTTCATGTTAAAAATCAGCCTAATAACTAAAAATAAATACATAAATTGAAGTACATACACTTTTACATTATTTTCTTAATTATTATTTTTTTTAAAAATATAAGCACTTTTATGACCGTTTTCTTCAAAATTATGCGACCATTAAGGGGTTAACTATAATGCTTATACACGGTATAAAACTGTCTGGTAATTTGGATTGCAAACTTATACGCAATAAAGTATTATCAAGAAAATAAATTCGTGCAATAAATAAGTATCGAAATTTCTCTTTTATGTAAAAATATACATAAAATGTAATAAAAAGATTTGTTTTTGTTTTAAAAAATTGAATTTCAATGAAGAAAACCCTTCTTGTTTGCAAACATAGTATAAGTTCGATATAACAGTTACAAGATATTACCAAGTCTGCTATTACGACAAATTTTCAAGTCACCTTTAAATTGATAAAG